ACCACTTGCCTTCTCAAAAATCTAAAATTCTGTCAGTAACATTGTGTTTCTGCTTTGTATGACTTATAAGACACAATCAGAGAACCACGTCTACGTCATCGTTTCTAAAGTCTTCCGTTTTTGCCCGTCTGCACTAAAACCCTCTCTGAAGTTTTAAAATGATAAACAGGTTCGGCAGCGTTTTCAAACTTCTCCGTTTTACGTCTTCGTTTTCACTGTTTTAGTCTGGAAAACGAAGTAGTGTGGATGGGACCTGTATCACAAATGATAAATTACATTTATCTCTATTGTGTTTAAATGAGACAAACATCTCAAACCTGGACAAATAAATCCCAAACTATCTTGTGGTGAGATGCCACAGGGCTAAGAAGAAATGTTTTCCCTGTTGTAATGTTAGTGATGGGACGTCCTGTGTCAGTGTAGAAATGTCAGCCTGTATGTCCAAGTATTGTTATCCAGATCTGTTTTTCACTGGATTTCAAAGTTTACCTCGGGTCACGGTGATCCGCTCTGTTTCTAAGGTTGTTATGAAAGTGGCTGCAGATTTCAAGGTGTTTTCTCTCAGCTCGTCACATTCCATCTGCGTGGACGTTCAGAAGAGACCAAACATGCAGGAGCGGCGGGAGAAGGTTAGTAAGGGTCACTGCTGTTCTTACACAACACAGAGTTCTTTGACCCTGGGTATACCTATGCTTATGTGCTTGCAGGGAAAACATAACACACAAGACAGAGAATAACAATCTTGCACTGGGGAAATCCTTGATGAGAAACAATCTTGTGGGAGGATGTTTTTTCTCCACTAATCAGAAAAGAGCCATTTGTGTTTTTGGCTCCTGCTGAAGACCTCTAGGAAATATTTTGTTTCACAACCTTGCAGAAGCTTTGGTGTGACACAAAATTTCTCGGAACGGTTCCGCACACTGAAAGCATTTCAGAGCTTAATCTTTGCATATGGAATTGATCAAATCTAAAATGCAATCCTTCAGGATGAATTATGGACTTGAACGCTTTAACTGTGCTCTGTGACGGTCTTCAGAGACTAAAAGTGGAGCAAATAGCCTGTGTTCTGAACCAGTTCCAGATTCAGAACACTGGTCCTCCTCTGCTTGAAGATTTCACAAGAACAATTTGAAAAACATCATAAAATAGGCTATGTACTACTTTGTGCAATGGCAACTTTTTTTTGTAAGACATAACTAATGACTTATTAATGGTTAAAATAGTTTAGTAGTTCTCTGTAACAAGAAGACATCAGAGACTATAATTACGATATTAGTTCAGTAACTTAACCAACTGAACGAGCCAACATCAGCAAGCTGCTATACAATGTGTTTAGAATGATGAGTAAAAGAGGTGAAATATAATATGGTTGAAACATCTGACCTGAACTCTAAATACAAATCAAGTGTCATGCTGGATAAGGATAAACCCCAGCCAACCTTGCAACCCAAAAATATTTTTTATTATTTGGCTCATAACGTTAAATCATAATCATTTGGCGGAGTCTAAGGCTGTCACACAATTTGAACAAATAAAACTGACTTATCCACATGAACAAAACCCATATCCAAAACAATGATGTAGAAATGTGTTTCTGTTCGTTATTGGAGCCTCCACCGCCTCACTTGAGTGATAAACAAACGTTAGTCAAGGTAGCTGCATTTTACTAAGTCAGCATAAAAAACCTTTATCAGAGGTTGTTTTATAGGGCGTCATATCCAAAATGCTTCCACACATTACAAATGGTTTCATCATGGCTGGCTAGTTTTCTACATTTTGTGTTATTGAAGACAACAACATAAAGCCCAGTACTGCAATTGGTCAGAGAACCATTAATACAAACACTGGCAACCCTTAATAAAAAGGGGTACCAAAAAGCTAATAATAATTTTGATTGACGGAAATGTTCTTTTCTCCTCTTTGCTGTCCTGTTTATCACCTCACGACCCTTCATATTTACTTTGCAACCCATTCATGGGTCTTGAACCCAGTTTGGGAACCACTGATCCAGGAGACCAGGGGTTCTTTATTTTAGTGACGAGAAAGTCCTTAGTTTGTTCTCAGGTGCATGCTGCGGACTTAATGCATGTTTGATGTTGAAGTTCATCACTTCTTTGGCCACACTCACGCACAAACATGATACAAAGATGCATGTTAAAAAAAAAGCATCTACAAAGTTATACACACACACTTAAGCGATGGGGTTGTTTTTTTCCTCCCACGCTCCACTGTCCAAATTCCAGCAGGGTTTACAGTAAGGGATGTTATGACACATGGGGTCATTGGGTAAGCAGTGCGAGGGAGGGGAGCAGTGAAACTATCGTTAACCCTGCAGAGTGTCCCAGTCGGCTGCGTCACCGGCCCAATCTCCCCTCGGCTGCGTCTGACTCAGGATGCTGATAGACGGTCGTTCCACTACACCACAGCTGTAAACGAGGCCTGAAAAGGCCCATTTCCGCCAGCTTATCTCAGTGTGTGTGCGAGTGTTTACATTGGCACTCCTGAGCCGGGCGTGTTTGATCATATCGGAGGGTCCGGCAGGTGGTAAACACACACACATTGGCTGTAACTTTCTCTGTTATCATCAAAAAAGCAGAGTATTGACATCCTCTCCTGTGATTGCACACAATCAGCATGAATCACAAAGCCAATAAGAGGAGGGCGGGTCACTGGTTCATCATTTACTCGTTGAAAAACACAACCTTGATGGTTTCATGTCAGGGCAGGATCCTTGCTGTGTTGCCATGACAACCTGTCAGTCAGGATGCTCCACATGCCACAGCACTTCCAGCTGCTTTACTATACACGCACACCAGCAGCAAACACACACACACACATTTTCACTGATGAATGTTTAGAAGTCGGTTCTTCCTGTGACAGGACTTGAACCATCCCTTCGCACTCAGCTCGACACATAAACAGACACAATGATAAGGCCCCAAGGGTTTGTTTTGTTTTCTTTTTCCTTTCAAACCTCCCATTTGTTTGTTAGATTCTTCTGCTGGGGGGTGAAGTGAGAGGCAGAAATATGTACTGTTTAACCCACAGAGGCCCTGACACCTTTGTCATATCCATTGTACTATATAGAAAGACCGTCCTCATCAGCAAAATGAAAAAAATATGCTGTTTTACACCAGAGAGGGCAGTCCATGCGTCCCATTTCCTACCAGCGCTCGTTGTTAGTTCTTTTTAACCAAGTAGTTATAGTTGCCTGAGCTTAACCAGACTGTTGCAGCAGGAGGTGGCAGATCAGAAAACCCCGAGCTGTTTTAGAAGGCACGGACGAGTGACGTGTTTCCTCGTTTTTAAAGGGGGATCAGTCACGTAGTCATGAATGATCCGGTGCTTCTTATTAGGTTTTATGGCCATTTTATCATTGTTTGTGTTTTGTACTGTTTTGTATATGTTTTCTTGTTTAGTTTTTTGTATGTGTATAAAAGGCGGATCTCCTTAGGCCACACCCTCCCTCATTACACAAATACACATCACCTGATGTGCGGGAATCCAATAAGCATTGAACTTTATACAGTTTGGAGTTGGAAAGTATGCATAAAAATGATGATAGGGTCAAAATACTCACTTGCCTAATAATTGTGCATGCATATACCATCGGTCCGTGCCATATACTAAAAATAAATAAAAAAAGGCATCAGGGCCAGTCTTGGTCTCCTGTTTCAGAGTTTCTACCTCTGATTCAGGATGTATTCCAGTTTTCTTGGGCTGTCTGACAACACTAGTGCTGTACCTGAATAGGGCTGATTTGCTACTTTAAGCCAATGCTTTAAATATTTTGCTACCCTTGTTTTCTTTGTCCATCTCAGTTGTTTTTACAATCAGGTAATCATGACCAAGACTTGTTGTGTAACTTGCCAAGGTATTATCCTCAGTTGCTGTTGTGTATTGATATAGCAATGAAAAATCTGATGCTTCGAGTGACAACATCGGGTTCAAAACAGGTGCTCACTCACTGACGTTTAGGTTGCACCCGCAGAGGAAACCCACCCATTTCAGGCATCCATACAGTTTGTTATGGGAAGAATGTTGAAAGTACAAACTCAGGGGAGGAATGGTGAACTTCTCAGAGATTTATCGGGAGAAAAATAAAAGTCAGTCTACATTTGTAGGCTTCTACATTTGTACGGCTCCAATATAGTATAGAACTGGACCTCTGGAGAAAATCCACAGGTTTAATTAATTTCATTAATGATTGTGGTTGCTCATGATTGTGGTTGCTCATGATTGTGGTTGCTCATTAATGATTGTCTACTGTCCCAGTAAGCCAGTGTCTGATCTGACTTACTTTAAGGGAAATCACCTTGACCTTGTCTCACATTTTGTAGATAACATTTAATGAACTTGCATTTCTGTATTAACTGGTCTTTAAAATAATAATTATTTTTCATGATTATGTTATACTATTATTGTCCCAAAATATTAGTTTTTTGGTTTTATGTTTTTGGAAAGCACTTTGTAACTTTTAACCTGCCACATGTAAAGCTTATTAATGTTATTATTCTTAAATGATGAAATGAAAATTAATTGAAGATTAATTGATAATAAAAAATAAATAAATCTCAGTTACAGCCCTAATCACATGAAGTCTATTGAAGTACGTTATGTTTTTGCTACCTGATGCCTGGCTGCCTGTAAACTCACCGTACGATTGTTTGTCTTTTCAACATTCTTCTCTTGACGAACTTTTTGAGCACTGAATTACACACTCATACACTTATCATACAGTATCTGCTATCGACACGTACACAAACTCTGCTCTCATGTTTCTCTGGTAGCAGACGTGTTCATAACGTCAGTATGAGGCACCTTCTGAAAAACACCAATTGAATCAGGCTGACATTGACCCCGATGTTGCTTACATCAGCTACTCTGTTTTTCTACTGTTACGTAACTTTGTAACTGTGATGATGGCCTCGCCATATGTACTATGGATGTGTATGTGTGTGTGTGTGTTGGTGAAAATCAGCACAGGAAGAGCGTTCTTACTCCAGGAGACACATCCCCACTGGCTTTATTTTTATAATCATAATACGTCAATATCATCGCAGTGCAAACACTTAGTATAAAATATCATCTTTAACAAAATTTACATTCACATAAAACATCTCAATAATTACATCTTCAACAAAAGAACTTGACAAATATCCGATCATTCATAATATATCTCTGAAAAAGACTCTACAATGTACAATAATAGCTAGTAATACCTACATATACCAATTGAAACCCGTATCATACAGTATGAAAATATCCAATTTACAGGAAAAATATTGTACATTACTCCTTTCCATCAACTGTTTAAAGCAAGTGTATAAAAATCCTCATTTTTAATCTCTTAGAAACTCAAAGTAAGCATTCAAGCTACTATATAGACTTTAAAATCTATTTTAAATATTATAAGAAGTACAACATCAGTCCGTTCAGGTTATGGTGTCCAAATAAATCTCTCTAAAATCAACGATTTGATGGTTTCATGTCAGGGCACGAGTCATCATTTGGAGTTACAAAACTGTTAAGGAACAGCTCAAACAGTAAAAACACAGCCATTCAACAAAAGGAAATCCACAATAACCGTAGCCACACATTCGGTTGTGCTACAGCTCAACACGAAAAAGTTTGATATGTTTATGAAAATAGGTTGGCACATTTGAAAACCAGCTACCTGTTGACTACAGCAGGAGCGGGGAGGAGGAAGAACCCCCGGTCTGATGTCAAACCATCCTGAAAATGTCCTCAAAAGGGTTTGCACACCAAACTCATGAAGAAGACACAGGTCAAAAAAGCACCTTACATTCAAGAAGACCGCTACCTTTAGCGCATGCATGAGGACTACAATAAAATAGAGTCACCGTGGGTCCGCTGCTCGGCCTGTATGAATGTTTCATTAAAGCATGCATGTAAGAGCCACAGGCTTGCAGGCAGTGCATGCTAGAACAGATTAGAGGAGTTAATGGCTGTGGTAAGCCGTACTGTGAGTAGCATGCTATACCATAAAATAAATCATCTGGATTTGTATGAGGAAGCCAGACACAGAGGTTTGGGTGTCTCCTCATTAACATCAGTTTTCTTCTCTCTACCAAAGCAGCTTTAAGTTCATAAAAATAGTAGAACAGAATATTTTAACAATAGAAAATATTTCTTAATAAACAAGCACGCAGAAAAGGTTTTCTTTTTTAAACATAATTCCATGAGGAAGGAATCACACTCGCACAATACAGAAAATCAGTTTTCTAAGTCATGCTTCAACTCCACAGAGATACAGACTGGTGTGGCTAGCTATGCACACTCTATTGGCTACATACACTATCAGGTCAAAATAGAATCCAGCTGGCTACAGCATGCAAGGGTGAAGAGGCTGAGATAGGAGACAAACCGCTTTATTGCTACACTTTGACGAGGAAGAATCTGGAAGTCAAGCATCACAGGGAAACAGACAGCGAACATGACTGGAATGCAGCAGTGGCATCATGCACTTAAAGACACTGAACAGCTCTGCTCAGGGAATCAAGAGCTTACCTCATGTGCCGTTGGAGGGTTAAAGTAAAGGGTGGGTATCACCGACCCAGAAATGATTGAAGGCAATGCCCTGTCGTGTTTTGGCAAGTTTATACCATTAACTGCCATTTACAATTATACATTTCATCCACTTTAAAAACATGTATCTCTTGGACAACAATGACCCCTGTAATTAATTAATCTGAATTTATGTCCATTAAATCAATGCAAGATCTAAAAGGCAACAAAAAAAATGGCAAGAAACTCATTGTGAGGAGTGGTCGCTAAGGCAACAGCACTGATTTGGTTTTATACTGAGAGAAAAGGGTCAGCTGAAGTTGTTAAAGGAATTTGGGGATATTGTTGTGAGAGGCCTGCGTGCTACACTATCGATCGTTCATTGTGATGTGTTTTTGTTTGATGCTGAGTTGTGGATGCAGCTTTCAACTCTGAAATAGAGGAGACACCCGTGGCCTTTGATTGATTACAGAGCAACGTGGCTAAAGCATCCTGTATCCCGTTCATGACACTCCACGGGTTCGAGTGCGGAGGGAGATTCAGAGGGTCCGAGGCCGCCTCAGACTCCCATGATTGGTCCTAAACGCAGTCCATCCCAGAGTCAAGGACTCCCATTGGACGATCAGTGTCTCCCACAGACAATACAAGAAGAGTGGAGAACGGCTTTACTTTTTCCTGCTTTTAATAAACTCTTTTAATAAACTCTCTCTGCTACTGCCATGTTGTTGCCATCCATGCTATTTCCCCAGCTCCACTCTCATTTTCTTGTTTTCCAGGGTCGCCATGAAAACAGCATCCTTCACACCATTACCGTGGGGACAGAGGGCAGGTACCTGGTGGTGCTGGTGGAGGTTGTTGCTGTGGACATGCTCGGGCTCGGGGTCCTGATGGTAGCGTAGGTGGTCACTGCGGGGACGGGGCTCAGCCTGGTGCACACGCTGCCGTGGGTGAATGTGCTCAAACGGCGCTCAGCGTTGCCGGTCTGCTGCTGGATTTGAGACGGCCTGCTGCTTTTCCTGCGCCCTTCCAAGAGGTATGTGAGCATCTGACCTTTGCCCTTCACGCTGACCTGGCCACGGCAAACAAAATTGTAGTAGTCTTTGATGAGACGATAAACATCCTCTGTCACCTGGAGAAGAAACGCAGCATGGATGAGGATTCTCAGACTTTCTTATGTTCCTCATGTTAGGAGACAATTAGCCATTAAGCTCTCAAATACAATGCCTCTTCCACTTAAAACAATGTAGATAAGGACTTGAAATTCTAAGAGTTCTAAGAAGATTGATACCACGTTAAGCATGAAGCTTCAGCCATGAGATGTTAGCTTAGCTTAGCATAAAACAGCTAGCCTGGCTCTGTCCGGTTTATTCCAGTTCTGTCCTGTCTAGTTTAAAATTATGCCTACCACTCACTAATTCTCCAAAGACACCAAAACTCACTTATTAACACAATCTAATCATACACAGATGTGTGGTTTAACAGGAAAGTTAAGTGTTGGGGCTATTACTTGACAAATACGTTTATCCATCCATGCAGCACTTCTGCACATTGTCTCAGACTACAGAACGGGTTGCCAGATATGGTGGGAGGTTTTGAATCACTGTGCAGGCCCAATGGTACCAAACAAGCAACTCTACTATAACAATGTGCCCAGCTGCTGTTTCCCAAGAAATAGTTCCAGTTAAGCTAAGTTAGTTTTTTAAATATTCTTATAGTATTTGCACCATAACTGTATCATCATGTCATGTGTGACAGTTTTCTTGGTGTCATTTTGCCTGTATTGCGTTTATTGACATGATGCTGTTTATGCTGTCCCCTTGAGACTTTACCTGGATAAACAAAGGAAAAGAAAGAAGACTGCAATGGACTGAATTTACTGTACCTGTATCTTTCCTTGTACTCCAGTGCTGTCCATCCTGCTAGCTACGTTCACTGTGTTTCCCCAGATGTCATACTGAGGTCTTCTGGCTCCAATCACTCCTGCCACCACTGGTCCCACATTGATACCTGGAATAAACACAAGAGAGCTGAAACACACATAGATTTTGATGACTCAAAAAATTGTTGAATTTCCTATTGCAAAATACCACTGCACCACAGTTCTACCCTTCAGTTCCTTGTGGCATGATTTATAAGGTGAATGCATCATTAATAAGCTAGGAGCAGAAAAGATTATTGCCGATCCCTCCCTGCCAGGACAGAAACTTTTACCCAATGACATGGGAGCATGGACACTACACATCACCTTCACGCAAAGTCTCCATTTATTACACATAGTCTTTATATTCTTCATGCTGTAAACTGTCCCCAGTCAGTATTTTGCATATTACATCCTCTTCGTCTTAAACACTGTACAGCTCTTTTTATGGTTAATCTTTCGTCATTTTTGAACAAATATATTTTACATATTTTTAATGTAAATTTATATTTTATATTTAAAACATGCAATATTTGTTTCTTTTTGTTTTCTCTTACTATTATTGTCACCGTTACACACCAAAATATGAAAACCTACTTGGCATTAAACTGGATTCTGATTCTTTTCATTAATAAATCACATGCATGTTTAAACAAAGCACCTTTTTTATTGCTAAATTACAAATATATGTATCGTGTATAATCTCTGAACTGACAAGATGATCATTGCATACACAGGACATACACTGATCCTTTTTCCTTTTGGGGTTTCAATCCTGTTGATGCTAGTTCAGACCAAGAATTAGTATCAGTAGTGCTGATCACATATATGGTCCGCCTTCCATGGCTGCTGCTGTTATTCTATGCATGTCTAAAGGATTGCAAAATAAACAAAACGATTTGACTAATTACACCACAGTGATGACATGTATCTGTTTCATCTTTACAGCCACCGTTCTGAAGGTTTTAGAGGTTGGATGACAATATGGCACATGTAGAATAAGACTTTTGGCACTTTCTGGAAATCCAGAATTACGCACATTCCCAAAAGTTGCGTTTCAGCAAAGAGGGTTTAGCCAAGCACACAAACATGCAATTTTTACACATGGAGCCCCACAGTCTGCAGACAGGATGGCACTGTATACACCAGGCTACACTGGGATTAAACAAGGGCTCCTGTTGCAGGCTCCCCACAGGATACCCAACACAATGGAACCCAGAACTTCAGTTCTCGCTGTGACGAGCTTCCTGGATGCAACGCTCTTTCTGTGATGCATTTCCTTCCAAACTTAGTGGTGCGAAAGTGCAATATGTCAGAAGCTCTGACACCAAGTTTACATAGACCAGTGTGTGTGTGTGTGTGCAGGTGTGTGTCTTCACTCACCTACTCTCAGGACAAAGTCATTGTAAGACTGGTAGTTGATGGCATCCAAGACGTCAAACATCTCGATGGCAAAATCTGACACTGTGCATAAATGTGAGGTGATGGACTTCTTCGCCTACGAATCAGAAAAACATGTACATATCAGTACAACACAGACTCCAAGTTTAGAAGTGATATTACCCACCAGTTCTGTTCCTGTGACATGATTAAACATGTTATTATCTTCGAACCCATGGTTTTCTACCAAAGTCAAACCACCTCTGTGACTGGCTGTTCAGTTTGCGTAAAGTTTATCAGAAGTTGCAGAAAGGGCTCTTTTGTTTGTCAGCTTTGTAGGATTTAAATAAACTTTATGAATGTGGAATATGCTGACGCCATAGAGGCCAGTAATCTCTCACAGAGGATTTGTGGATTGAAACGTGACAGAGTTCTAAATATCAACACCCAGAAAATAACTACCTGAAATGCCGGGCCTCTCAAAAATGCTGTGCGCACTCTGAAGAGTTTCGAAACATACCCAGCAAACACACTCATACAGGATATATAGCTATTGCATGTGTACCTTAGAGGCAGTTGTAGGAACCAGCCCTACAGCAGCCATGTATGTACTGCCAATAGTCTTGATTTTCTCAATATCCTTGTAGCACTCTTTGTCCATCAGCTGTAAGGGAAAAAGGAAGAGAAAAGGATGAAAACAGCAGGAAAGCATTACAGCTATTACAAATTTCAAAACAAATTTGAGTAAATTGTCAGTTTCAGTTCAGATATATCATAGGTTGTGATGGCAAACCAATCCAAATGCAATTTTAAATGGAGTAAATTAATGTTTTATGTTGCTGATTATAGATTCAAGTAGGCCAAAAGTCATCTGTAAGTAATTCCTCATTTTGAAAAACTTTCCCAACCGCAACCATTGCTTATTATATTGCATCAATAAACAAGTATTTTTTAAACCCTCAGTCATGGCCACAATGTCATCTTTGAAAATGACATTATGGAGGTCATATTGCAACAGAGCCTCCCTCCAGAAGATATAGTAGGCAGACAGGAAACTGCAGATTTATGCTGGAACCAAGCATTTACTCACCTCATCAAAGTCAGCGATTATCTCATTGAGCAGCCTGAGACACTCAACGCCCATGTTGTTCCCGTCCAGCTCAATGTAGAAGTCGTTGAAGTTGGCGATTGAGGCAAACAACACTCCAACCTGAGCGTATGACTGGTAGTAGAGGTCCTGGAGGGGAGAAAAGTTAAGTCAAAAATGGCCTGATAAAGCTGTAATGTAATGGTCACTGGTGTTTTTAAAAAAAAGTGCTAAGAATGCCACTGTTGGAAGCAGAAAAGAAAACATTTAAGCATGGCAGGTCAGTCTTTACGTTTGGGAACATGTAATAAAATAACTTCAGTGTCCGCCTACTTGTATTTAAGTATTTTATTGTTATGGATGGATGGATGGTACTTAATTATACTTTATGTACACATGTGAAGGAACTTATAACTCTGGTTCTGAAAAGCACTATAGAAATCAAGTTTACTTTCTAGTTTGTCAGTGCTTCCACCACATATCACAGTCTTCCTCAGCAAATGCAGCTTTGACATAACCTACAGTACGTGTGGTCGACTGCAGGCTGAACGCCGTCTATCACAAGTAAGGTGGTGACACCTCCATTTGCTGAAGAAGGGCTTTAATTTTCCTCTTGATACAAATGAGAAAGTTTTTTTTTCCCTCTCTCTTTTTGGAAATGTAAATGTAAATCCACAGACCTCACTGTAAACGGTATTTATTTGAGCTACTTTCTACTGAAGAAACGGTCTCTATAAAATGAATAACAAATGTCCTGTTGTTTAACCAGAGTAGCAGGGACACTGTTGTTGGATTGATGCATTTGTGTTGAAGTTTTTTAAATGTCCTCTCCTGCTGAACACATACGACATTTAATTTACTTTCACTGATGTAAACGAGACACAAACATCATAGCCTTGTTTTTAAAGGCAGGGTGCTGGACATTCAGTAAGCCAAATTCCAAACTGTGATGGAAATTTACTGTATTTAATTATTCTTTAAACAATTACTTGCACATTCTGTTTGCTCCTTGTCAATTTATTTGTATTTTGACATATGGGATTTACAACAGTTATGTTAATAAAAGCCATATGCACTGTAGCTGCAAATTCAGATTCAAGAGAGCTTCTAAGTCAAGTTATCTCCGACAGCAAAAGTGTTGCTATGTTACCAATCAGGTGCCATTCAGAAATATAAAACAATCAAAGAGTACTGGGACTTCAAATTTACGCCCAAATCCCAGGAACAAATATGTGTATGAAGGACAAACAAAACTAGTATGCTTGCAGGTAGCCACAGTAGTTCCACATGCAATAAAAACTATTTCTCTATCACTGTTTTGGAGCAGTGAAACTTTGAATTCCAGGCAACAGAGTCCCACTGTGCTGTGTTGTGAATACAGTACATGGGTGAACTCAGAGGAAAGAGAGGAAGCCTTTCTATACACTGTAGCTCCAAGGGGTCCCCAATGTGGCGGAAACATGCTTCCTGACTTCCTGCCCCCAGTGTTTACTAGTCACAGCCTCAGACGATCCCTGCACCATCTGATGCATAACCCGCTGATTGTTAAAAAGAAAAGGCCAGTGTTACTGTATCTTTTCATTATTATTAACAAATCCCATGACAAAATCAAAACCAAAAATAGATTTAACCTACTTATGGCCAAAGTTTATGGCCACATAGATCATGCTGTGCACTGTGCTGTATCGAGAACCACTGTTGTGTAGATCCTATAAATAAGCTTGCTTTGCTTCCCTTATCCAAAAACAAACAAACAAAAAAGCCATACTGTTGCATCTGTGTGTTCAATGTAGTTTATTCCAAAGATGACAGCAGAACATGCTCAGTAACGTCTGCCAAGATATTTTGAATAATAATAGACCGTATGTGGTTCTTCAGGGGTTTGTTGACAATAAAAATATGCTTTTATTTTTGCAGCAGTTATTCACCGGAAAAGTCTGAAGGCTCTGCTCTCGGTGTTTTGCTACTAAAGGTCAGCTACTCGTCATGTGGAGTACTACAGCTAAAAACAGCTGTATAAAGCCATTGTGATGTAATCAGAGTTTTTTCATCTTGGGATTGTAGATTTTAAATTTTTAACAGAAGTTTCTAAGTGACAAAGTGGGCACATAGAGAGGGCGGAGCACATGAAATGCATGGACATTTACCAGGAAGAGAGGGTGTAATGTAAAGAAGCTGTCGAGGTGCATAATGGGAAATGTAGGATCCTGCATTTTTGGAGTTTAGAGACTTAAAGTCTGGATATCTCAGACTGTGATGCATCAATTTTGAACATTCTTCTTTTGATGTGTCCCTTTCAACACCTCAAACTTTATGAAAGTGCAATACTAAGTCTGGCATTAGTCTGCTGCTATCCTAAGTGTTCCTTAGGTCTGTAGGTGGTCATTTCGCATGTCAGTCAAAGACCCCCTTGTGGTCAATGTGCTGTTTGTTATGCTACAATTTAGCCCAGATTTGGTTACAATATGCTAAACAGGCTACACTCTGGCTTGTAACATCAAAGCTGTGTCCTAATTGCAGTACTCTTCTATTTACGCAAATTATGCACTGAATACTTTGTACTGTACAAAGTGTTATAATTACACAATCACCATCCAAATGAATGTGATCCTTCATTAAATCAGCATTTCCTGCTTTTGCATCTATTTTGCCATGGTAAAAGCAGATTTTTGAATCATACAATAATATAGGAGATATGTTTTTCCTGCTTATATGCAATTTAATGGAAACATTTCTAATAAAAAACATTCTGCACAAAAATAATGCAAATTTTAGCATATTAATTGGACCCCTGGCAGGATGAATGGCACATATTTCACTGGTTATGGGCCATCAAGTCTATTCTTAATATTTCTGTCCATGTTGTATATTCACGCATGACTTTTAGCATGAAGATTAGGACCACAGCTTTAGTGTTTACAAAAGCTACAAATTTCCTGAAAGGATGCGTGTTTTCATCACTTCCTAAGAAAGGGGGAGGGAGCCCGAGGAAGGAACAGATCAGTGGATGTTCATCAATCAGTGGATACAGACACACAGGACTGTCAGCTCACACTTCCAGTTTAACACCACAACACACAGTCGGGGAAGCAGCATCATTGTGCTAAACAGCTGGGATATTTGACCCCTTTAAGACCCGAACTCTTCAATTATTATATATTGGACATTTTTTGGCTATATGGGAAGTTGTTGGCATACAAACACCAAACATAAAGGAAACTATCCACTTGTGCATCTTCAGTGTTATCAAAACACCCGATTACCTTGAAATGAAGATTCTAGTAAGATGAGATTTCAAACTAGCCAATAAGCACTGGTTTGGTTTTCTATAAGTCAAAAGATGCCTCAGTCATACTGTGTTAAATTTGTTTAAAAGACACAGATTTTTAGACATCTAGGCCTCTGGTTTCATGGCAGTATGGGCTGGGAGCATAAGCTGACTTAAAGACCAGTGGCAGTATGTGCAAATTCAGTGGTAATGAGACTGAAAATGTTTTTCAGGTACAACGAATCATCTGCATGGGTTGTCCCTGTAACAGCCATGTCTTCTACATCTCATGCATTTCATTACCGTTTACAGAACTTTATCACCCCTGAGATCCAGACAAACAACTGATGACAGAAATCTGAAGTGAAACACTCGATTCATCATCTTAAAATAACGAAATTTGTCTTGATATCTCATTCCATTAAGAGGGTTATTTAACCAAATTCAGCTCTGTGTGCACGGAATAACAAGTCTAAATGAGAAATGTCTTATTTATTATGCCTAATATACTTCATGAAGGCAGCAGGAGATGGATTATATTATTCAGCAGGACTGTGTTAAAAACAGAGTGAAAAACATTATTGCAAGTAATGGAAAAATCTGGAGCACTGGCTCAGTAACTCTATCAAGCCCTGTGTAATATTTCTATAATATCCTTATATCTGGTAGAGTTTAGTATTCTACAGTGAGCTTAACATACGTGGATTCTATTATGTAATTTCTAATCAGAATATCATTATTGCCATGATATTCCATCAGTTTTCAATGCTTGGATTTGTTAATTCACGATATAGTAACATATATTCTGTTTTACCTACATAACAGTAAGTTTATCAAATTTTTCTCTTATATTAGTCAGACTTTTCTGTAATACTAGAGTCCCTAAAGTACAAACAGTTCATTATAGTCTGAATATTTTGGTTTGTAGTTAGGGACCTAAACCAGTGTTATTGTTGTGTGGCCATAATCCCCCAACGGGTTATAACATTTATTTAGGGTCATAAGATGAGTACCAGAGTAAGAAGTAGATAAATAAATGTGTTATTCAGAATTTTTCAGACTTTTCCCTAATCTTTGCATTTTTGTTGTGTAATTCTGTTTACTTTTAGCTCTCACAACCTAAGAAGGCAGCAGACACTACCATCTATAGAAAATGTGCTTGTTAAGATAGATGTCTGGGTGTCTTTTGAGCTGCAAATCACCAAACCAGCACTTCCTGGGTACATCAGGAAGCACTGGGAAGGAATCTTTGCTGGCTTCAGAAGCCTTAACTCTCTTTAAACTGATGATGGCTGTTGGACAAGCCTGGACATGTCTGTGGATGCTCACCATGTTCCTGGGGTTTGACATGAGGAAGTGCTGAGCCACATGAGCTGGCAGCAGGTTGAACAGGATCCTCTTATTGTCCAGCTTCACCTTCTCCATGTCGTCTCTCTCCTCCTCCGCCTGTACACCATCAGCAGTCACGCAACACACGAAAGGAGAAGGAGAGGTGATTCCTTACAGAGTGATACGAATGTAGAAACCGATGTGTCTAAATACAATGAGCTTTTTTACAGTAGTTCAAAGCTCAAAGGTAGATGTAATTGCGTATCCTTATCACTAGAGGGAGATAATGTTTTGCTAACAAGACAAACATTCACTGGCATTCTTAAAATAGAAACATACACTTCAATGATCTATTGAGACTGCATAAGACCATGCATGCAAACACACATGCAAAAAATATGCATCATATCAAAATATTACAGACTAAAACTGAATCCTAAAATGTTTGTTTGCCAGTCCAGTGAAAAAACTTCACTGTTTCCGCCCAGAAATTAGTGTGTATGCAATATTTTGTTTAGTTTTCTTAAATAATTACAAGGTGAATATACAAATTGAAAACATAAATGAATGTAAAGATTTATACACTGCAAGAGAAAAAGAAATACAGAAAAAGTTGCATAATTAGTTGGTTTAGAAAATATTTAAGATTCTGAGCCAGTGAGGAGCATTTCTGCGGTACACATATAACATTATTCTGCACATACATACATACATACAATGTCTGAACTGATGCAGTAATGACAAACTGACCAAAGGATCTAAACAGGGAAATACATGCTGAACAGTCAAGGTTTCAACTGTCATCTAGTAACATCCAGTATCACCGCTGGAGCTCAACCGATACTGGATTTTAAAGCTGATACCAACACGAAATAACTGACCGACATTTTTGTGCGTGTGTGTCTGTTGAAACAAGAAAGAATAAAGCAGTTTGCTGCAGTACAATAAAGAACAAAATTATTATTTGATAAGTTACCATAATCTGAATTGGAAACACATTGAATATATTTATACTGCATTGGCATGAAAAACATTACAATAATTTAGCACTTGTGTTTATATGTTTGTTTTTTTTACCACATACACACAAGGAGCACTTAGACAAAGCAGGGGCCAAACTGACTTCCCTATGATCAATGTCCAACCTGCTCTACCAAAGCGACTTACTCTTCCCTAAACACAACAGGGGCAATTTGGGGTTCAGTGTCTTGCTCAAGGACACAGCAGTAGACAGGAGGATCAAACCACCAACCATACAATTACCAGCCGACCTGCTCTACGACCTCAATTATAGACATACATGACTTAATAAGACTTTATTGCAGTGCACAAGAACACTGGATGCCCAAACACATTCATACCTGAGTAGCCCAGAGATAGTCCAGTCGTAGCTTCAGGTCCAGCTGTCTTGAATGCAGAGCCAGAGCTCCAGAAAACAGCAAGACAGCCAACACAGGATCGTACCCTCGTGTGTGGAGAAACCCTCCTCTGAAAGACACACACACAGAAACAAAATGGGTTGCTTCTTTATGTTTGATTAACTTTGTTATTATAACAAAAACATATAAGACAGATACTGTACAGTCCCTTCCAAAAGTATTGGAACAGTAAGGCATTCCTTTGTTTTTGTTGTTCACTGAAGACATTTGGGTTTAAGATCAAAAGATGAGTCTAAGACAAGAGTTCAGAATTTCAGCTCTCATTTCCTGGTATTCACAACTAGATGTGTTAAACAACTCAGGACATATCAACCTTAGTTTGACTAGTCTAAGTTTTCATCCATGTTAAAGAGGATAAAGCAACATGAAAGAGGATAAAGCAACATGAAGAGCAGAGAGCTGTCTATGGGAGAAAAGCAAGCCATTGTCAAGCTGAGAAAAGACGGACAATCGACCAGAGCCATTGGACAAACATTGGACGTAGCAAGCACAACAATTTGGAATGTCCTGAAAAGGAAAGAAACTACTGGTGTACTGAGCAACAGACGCCCAACAGGTCGGCCAAGGAAAACAACAGTAGCTGATGACAGAAATATGGTGAGAGCTGTGAAGAAAACCCCCAAAACATCAGGAAGTGACATCAGCAACGACCTCCACAGTGCAGGGTGAAGGTATCACAATCCACTGTTGGAAGAAGACTCAGAGAGCAGAAATATAGAGGCCACACCACAAGATGCAAACCACTCATCAGCAGGAAGAATCCCAAGGACGGACTGAAATTTTACAAAGAAGTACAGAGATGAGCCGCAAACGTTCTGTAACACAATCTGATGGACTGATGAGACCGAGATTAATTAATAAACACCCCGAAACAAACAAGAACTGAAAGAAGCTGCGCTAAAAGCCTGGAATAGCATCACAAATGAAGAATGCAACAGTTTGGTGATGTCGATGGGTCGCAGGCTTGAGGCAGTTATAGCAAGCAATTATTATCCCACCAAATATTAAATGTTATTTACTTTAAGATTATTTGTTCCTTTACTTTTGCTCACCTAAGAATGCTGTGGTCTGATACAAACGGTGATATGTCCTAAGTTGTTTAACACATCTAGATGTGAATACCAGGAAATAAAAAAAAATTCTGAACTCTTGTCTCAGACTCATCTTTTGATCTTAAACCCAAATGTCTTCAAATTCAAATTAGCTTTACTGGCATGAATGTATAACAACAATATTGCCAAAGCATCATACAAACTACAGTGAACAACAAAAACAAAGGAATTTGCCTTACCGTTCCAATACTTTTGAAGGGAACTGTAAATTAAACCATATATTGGACCACAAACGCTGATCTTTTTCATGTTAAACTGCACATCACGCATGCAGCTCAGTCTCACCCCACGGCTTGGCGATAGCCACTGGTCTCCATGACGACGGTGTAAGTGACAGAGAGGAGGAGGAGCAGGAGGATCTTGGGGACCGAGGAGACTCTGAGGTAGGGGACAATAGTGAGGGTGCCGGCCACGCAGGACAGCAGGGCGTATGCCATGTTGGGACAAGCTCTGTCGGCTGTTGTGCTGTTGGCATCTGTGGGGACGTCCTCCACTGAGTCGCTGGAGTTCATCCCAACTCTCCCCCAAGGAACACATCCCACCTGGGGGAAGGGATCACAATAAAGTGGGTTACATAAAAATACCAACCTAAAATTAAGCTTCTATCAGTTGGACACTGTTTATGATGATGCAATAAACTAAACTTTACTTTATTTAATGAACTGTATGAAATTAATTGTTAGCTTTGGCAATATTGTTGTTTAACATTCATGCCAATAAAGTTGAATTGAACTGAATTGAATATAATTGAATTGAACAGAGTAGCTGTTTATATTATTAATCAAGTAACAAGAAAATGATATAAAGACTAAATTAGTTAGCTTTAGAGGTGTGGGTAGACTGATTTTACCTTTGGACAGAGCCATTCTTTTTTTTAGCCTTTATGTAGCTAAGCTAATAGCATTCTAGCTGTAGCTTAATATTGAAAATGACAGATATATCGATCCTATCAACTAACTCGCTGCAAGAAAGCCAAGCGGGAAGCTTCCGGTCAGCAAACTGATGACAACGCGAAGTCCCTTAAACCTGCATTCTATCGAACGGCCAGCAGGGGGCGACTCTTCTGGTTGCAAAAAGAAGTCCGGCTCCGTTAGAAATAATGGGAAAATTACCCTATTTCTCAGCTGAATAATTACCTCAGTAAACACTTTCCTAATGAGTTTATGGTCTCAATCAATAGACCATGAAGCAGAGTATGCTTCAGGGCGGGATTATCTATGATTGACAAGTCGTTACCATGGCGACCTGTCAATCAGGCTAGAGTGACTCGTACCCACGGCACTGTGTAAATTTTACCAGCGCTGTTGAAAAAGCTTATTAGGAGTTGGCTGTTCACTTTCTCTGGTGAGTAGATTTAGTTTTAAGACTGTTGTTCCCTAGACAGTTAGCTCCACCGTCTAGTCCAAATATGGTCACGTCCGGTGCCGCTGGTTGTAAAACATTAAAATGGCGGCGGCCTATTGCCCAAACTCGAGGCTTCAATACGGCAGTCCACAAACCAACAGGTGACGTCACGGTGACTACGTCCACCTCTATATACAGTCTATGTAGAAAGCCAGTATTTTCAAAAATGTCAAACCATTAATTTAAGATATGAAATGTAACACTTTTAATCTGTAAAATCTACATGAAGTGTTGAGCTTCTGTACTCAATGCTAACATCAGAATACCAACACGGTCAAAATCACAATGCTAGCATGTTGATGTTTAGAAGGTATATTGTTTATAATATTCAATATTTTAGTTTAGCTTGTTAGCATGCTAACACTAATTTTCTTGTATTATTATTTATTATTTGTACATTCTGTGAATTATTTAAAATGTAATGTTCTGGGGGTGTTTTGCATTTACAAAACAATCAGCAACAAAACAGCTGGCTGTAAACTAGCAGGGCCATCCCTTCCCTACATCCGTGCCGCTACACCTTTGCTTTACTGTATTTCAGTAGTCACACACCCACACACAGACACACACATCAGAGCCTGACTGAGTTTTGGGGCCGATGTTGATATCAACCGATTTTATTTTAATGGGTATTTTACACTTGAACAACAAATGTTTAATTCTTCTGAAGATCTGCAGGACCATCTGCTTGGCTGTGATGTGTAACTTTGTCAACTCATGTACAGCAGAGACTTGGTGAGGGTGTAGTCTGCTGGATGAACAATGAAATGATATTTTAACCCCCCCATGTAGCATTTATGAGCAATTACACATTCTTTGCAGCATACTATAACACATTTACATGCACACTGATGTCTCCCAGTTTCAATCATACTGAGGATATAACGTTTACATTAAACATAGAGAAACCTGGTTATTCATATCGCGGTATACATGATTCTGATCATCTACAGTGGTGCAGACATGTCATGACATGTCATTAATTCCTTAACATCAAGCAAATTTGTCATTTCATGGTTTGTCAGCTTCAACTCTGCTGCACTTACCTCCCTGCTAGATTTGGATTCTCCATCTGATCATCAGTAATGGATTACGAAGAGTGACCGTGCAATTTATGCTTGTCAGCGTGTCATAACATCATTTATGATGATATACACTGTAAAGATATACTTTATATTATCCAGTATCTGTATATTATACAGTATATCTTTTGAGTAACTACTGCTGTATGTAATTCAAGTTGAAGATGCTACTGGTGGCCTTGGGATGAAGTGCTGGCCATTGAATGACACCTGTGTTATTCCCCATCTCGCTCTTTTTTGTAATTTCTCTATATTGTCATAATGTCATAATCTCTCTATATGAATGTGCACCTGCACACATAGCAGACAATAATCGCCACCTTGCTTAAAATATTTACATGCCACAGCATCTCAGTTTCTAGCTAGCATATGGAATAACCCTAAGAATATCTCCAAACTGAGCTTTTCCAGGTTACTCCAGAATCAAGCGCGGCAGATCATAACTGGAGAACTGTTGTGCATGTGAATGTGACTGTAAGCACGTATTTAATCTGACCGCCCCAAAAGAGTCTCTGTACAAGGCTCCCTATCTGATGAAATCATTTTAAATACCAGGGTGCCTTGAGGTCGCACTGTATATCACTTTTTGTATAACACTTTTTTCTGTGTATGTAAATTAATTGCAGATCTATGACAGCAACTTCTGTTTTTTTAAGTATGTAGATGACATGGCTTTGGTAGGTATCATGTTCAAGGGTAATGAGGAACCGGAAAATTCCTACATTAATCACATCAACAATCTATTAACATGGTGTGAAGAGAGTGTTTTGCTCCTAAACGCTAATTAGGTACTTGTTGTCAGCAGGAGTGGTGGGCAAGCAATGTGTCAGTCAATTGCAATTAGAAATAGTTAAACATTTACACAGAAAGCAAGATCATACAGAACCCACAAAGACAATTGGCTGAGCTATACACCACACAAACCAGGAGCCACGTTAATAGTTCAGGACTCTTCACATCCTTTGTTCAGTGATTTTCAATAAATCCCTTCAAGAAGAAGATGAAGGGAACCCACAGCATCCTTTAGAGATACTTTATTTCATCCTCTGTCATCTTACTAAACAAATATATAAAAACTACCAATTGGGATCTTAAAAACACACTTACCACACAAGCCTGGGTAACAGAGTAGGTAAGCAGAATGAGGAAGACACACAGCACTGTTCGGATCTGGATGGTGAGGCAGCCTGGTTGGCACTTAAACCAGAGGAAAGAGAAATGGAGATGGGGGAGTCGGTACATGGAGCACCTGTTTATCTACCTCAATAGCATTTGAGACACATCATTAGCCAGAAAGGGAAATCGAATGAGTGCATTTTGTCGTGTAGTTCATTATGTGCAGGCCTAATAGAGGAGATGCTTAAAGGATATGGTGACACTTCAATGTAACGTGATACCATAGTGTCATATAGAGGGTATGAACATGATGTCAGAGTAAATAGAAGTCATCACGGTCACTCCAACCTGACTTGCAAGTATGTAACAATCAGCATGTGCGGTCATGCTTTTACAGAGAAGAAATTACAACAAAAATTGTGCTGTGATTACTTGTACGTAGTTTATTTACAAAATTACTATGCTTGTAATCAAACAGCACCGGTACAATAAACACAGCCCGCCAGAGTTTATGATCCAACACAGCTGTTTAAAGACTGGTTATAATATAAGATATAATATCTTCCAGAACCTGGGTGGTGAAGGCGCAGTGGATAAGATGCATGCTTTTGGTTTGAGAGACCTGAGTTCAACTCCCCTCTGTGATACGTCCACCAATGTGTCCCTGAGCAAGACACTTAATCCCTAGATGTAATAATATCAAGCAGGTTTTCACAGTAAACTGAAGTAATGTCAAGCACTTTCTAACAAGAGGTGTACTTTAATGTCAACTAAACAAGCACATCGTTTTCTGAATGAGAAATGTAAAAAATTTAAAGCATTTACAAATCTTTTTACAGACAAACAGAGTATTTGTTTCTTGGTCTTGAATACAGCAAAGCTCAAAGGTCGACTATTTTATAGAGCTTTTAACCAGCATATCTGATCTGATTTTGATACACTTAACAATTTGTGCTTTAAAATGTGAATAGGCATCTAAAGGCTTTCAGGCTTTGTTTAGTGGAATGTAATGCAGACATAACTAGTCAATTCATTTATTAGTCGAGTTATAGAAAACCAAATTTTGATAACTTATCTTATCTAGCAAAAAAGTCAAATATTCATAAGCTCCAGCTACTCAAATTCGAGGATTTCTTGCATTCAATCTGTTGAAAAAAATTGTAGATGCATTATTCGAAAATGAAAATGGACCTTAGTTGCAGCCCTAGAGTGATGTTATCTTCTTGGCTGGAGCTACAATACTCTTTATGCATGAGGAAATAACATTGTTGGCAACATTTCAACATCTACTACTGTCCAGTACATTATACAGATCACTGTTTTGCCATTTAGCTGTGTAGGAGAAGTTGGTATCTTATAAAAAAGTGGCATCAGTGTATACCCTCTATACAGACGAGTTACTGAGCAGAATCATGTGGGAAGAGGTCTGGGAATCCTACCTGAACACTTGTGAGATGTAGGTACATGACACAGGCCACATGGAAACACACACATAGCACCAGCAGCAGCAGCACCAGCATCCCCCTGAGAGAGAAGAGTGAGAAGGGCTTTCCCAGTTTTCCACTGACTGCAATGAAAACACCTTCCATTTTAATTGCCTCACTACTGCCAAGCAAGATAGATCCAATTACGTTACACGAATGGGCAAACTGCACATGTAGAAGAGTGTGTGTGTGCGGTGTACGTACTGTGGAATCATTAGCAAATAGATAAGGCCAAACAGAGCAGCGAGGATCAGCGAGAGAACCACTGCACTGATGAAATGGTCGTCATAGACCTGGTGATACTAAGGACAAAACAGAGAGAAAATGTCAACATGAGGCATTCATCCATCCATCCTTTCAGATGTTCATCTAGGGCTAGATAGGAGTCCTTTTCCGTGGGGAACCCTTACCCTTTTACACCAAATGCATGTGCAAGTGTGATATTGTGTAAGACCATTTTTCTATATGGGGTTCTTTGGAGGACAGTTGCATGGTTGTTCAAGGTTATTTCTCTTTCATTTGTTCAGATTTTGGTGAATAACCTTTCAGTGCATTTTCCATTCCAAACCCAAATACCAACAAGAGTCGGGTCAAGATATTTACAGACATTTCGTGAATCTTAGTGCACAATCGTTTTGACAATGACAACATTGGTGACATTATACCAATTTTTGGGTGAAAAATCTCAAGCATGGCAGGATGTTGAGAGAAAATGTATATTGTGACTGTTTTCGGCCTTTTTTAGTCCGTAACATCCTTATTGCCTCTGTAAAGCTTCACGGAACTCTCTTCATTTTATGTTCAGCCTCGTACAAACTATGCAAGCTTATGTGTTTGGTGTAAAAGACAGATTAGGTGTTTCCTGGCTTGTTGGGATACAGAATCAGTGTCCTTACAGTTTGACATGCACAGATTACCTTAAAAGATTCCCAATCAACCTGGCACCTACCACTGTGTAGAAGCAGCAGCTCACTCTGACCATCTTCTTCCCTAGACCCTCTGATGCTGAGCTCAGATATTCCACAAAATTAATTTTACCTGCTTGCATCCACGATCTTATCCTTTGCTATCCAAAGGTAGATGGACCTTCACCTTTAGACTCAACCTCAAGTATAACCCACCTGAGAGAACTGATTCCACCTGCTGTTCTCACGCTCCATCTTAACCTTGTGAACAAGACCTGTGATAATTAACTCCTTTACTTGGGGCAGCAACTCACTTATGAGAAGCAGCTAAACAAAAGGACAGAAGAGTGGGAATTCTCAAATCCTGAATCAACTGTCATCGTCTCGGATTAAGGTCACAGACATCAAGGTAAGAAAAGCTGTGCGGTTATCTTGTCATCAGCTTAAGCGTTGAGTGAAACGTTTGCCTTGTAGATGAAAACGTGGATAAAACTGAAGAAAAGTTAACATCAACCATGAATGTCTTTGTTAAATGAATCCATCTATTGGTTGGTAAGAGGACCTACCAACCGAGAACAGAGTGACCTCCCTGGGGCCATGTGCAGAGAAAATGAAAGGATGTAGTCAACAGGACCAAGATGTGCTGTGCTATGTGGGAGCCCTAGAATATAATGTCTGCATAAGAGCTTGAGCTTTTCTGGACTGAATGAATCTAATTGAAACCATCCAAGGATTGCTCCAAAAAACTTCTCTTATGTCATACAGAAAAAAATAATAATTTCAAGAGATCTGATTTAAGAGGGAGATATGAGAACTTCTGCAACAACAATGTGTCCTGAACTCTACCAGCATCCTATGAAAGAAATCTTTTAACTTTAGTCTGTGGGAGTAAATTAACACTTTACACTAATTAAAGTTTTTTTCTGCTGGTGGCATTTTCCTGACTTTTAAAATATGTTAAAATTAGTAACAATTAAGTAGTTTTTACTGTGTATAAGGTTTTAATTCTTCTGCTACCACTTTGAATGTATCGATTGCACACAAAGACACAGACATAGATACTAACACAAACACACACACACACACACAAACCCATCCCTGTTGTGTGTCTCCTTTATGGCTCTACCCACGCACACATAGGAGAAAGATATCACGTGTGCCGCTCAGACGTTCCCAAATCATTATCTGCACTCCCTCCTGAGAGGGTGGGTGGAATCCACACACACACACACACACACACACACACACACACACACACACGCAGACATCATAGACAACAGGCGTGGGAGAGAGGGAGAAAGGGGAGAAAGAGAATTAGAGACTAGAATTAGAGGTGTGTGTGAGAGAATGGGAGGGGTGGGGTGGACATGCAGTCACGAAGCATGTTACCTTTTGTGTAATGAGGAAAGTATATATTTGTTGAATTTCTTGAATCCAATTGTAAATATAAATCCGAGTTACTGACTTTTCTGCAGATGTTCAGTGTGGGTGCTCACCCTGCGTTCCCTGTCTCTGCTCCTGTAGAACAGGGTGATGTAGTTGAGGTCTGTTGTTTCGGACTCGGTCTGCCGCGCTTCGATGAGCCGCCCGATGTAGCGGTTGACTCGTGTTCCTGGTGAGTGCTGCACGGCGGTGGCCGAGAAAGATGTCCGACTCCTCAGCTTCTCTGACGCGGTCCGCAGGGCTCTCCGCTGTCAGAGACAACACAATCAGTCTCTGCACAGGCCAGCCTGTCTTAAAAATGTCTTAAAGTTCACTGGTTTTGAAATGATGTGTAAGGCATACCAGTGCAGAGTTTTGTGAGAGGTCAGCACTTAACACTGTAAGATTTTGTTATAACTTTGGAAACAAGATGAAAAGTCTACATGCCATGATGGCCTGGCCTTGTGAGGCTGCAATGCTCGTTATACACCAGAAAACAAGATTGTTTGATGAAACACTTTACAAACTTTACAAACTTTAAACCTCATTACCACTAGTGAGGAAGAACATTTTTGGCTGAGTGTTGTAGGCTAAATTGTCAGCAAATTAAATTCAAGTTTTTCATAGTGTTAAAATTAAAAGACCAGCAAATAAACACATGCACCTTACATGTATTTGAGTTAGATACATACAATGCATACACACAGAAAAAACATAGAAAGCATATGCTATTATCACTGAAAACATTTTGACATGTCACAGTAAGAAAAGCAAAAGTGTAAGTGAAAAAATGAATGATGGCTAATTACTAGCTACAGTCTGGTACAAATCTGACTAAGCCTAAATTACATTATGATTATGGTGATGGCGCATAGATAAGATGCTTGCCTTTGGTGTGGGAGGGAGACCTGGGTTCAATTCCCACTGTGAGACATCCACCATTGTGTCCCTGAGTAAGACACTTAACCCATAGTTGCTCCAGAGGCGTGCGACCTCTGACATGTATAGCAATTGTAAGTCGCTTTGGATAAAAGCGTCGGCTAAAAAAATAAATATAAATGTAAAAGAGGAGTCGTAATAGAAGAGACAAAAGAAATCCAATGTAAAGCTAGAAAAGATAAATAAATAAAATAATTAAAAACAGCTCAGCCAGTCTCATATTTTCAGGACAATGCATGCTCCAACCGAAAAGGCACTTCACACAAAACGGTGGGATACAGTAGTTAACACACCTTGCCTGGAAGATCTAAGAAGCCGTAACAATTAATAAGATTTGGAATAAGATGTGATAGCAGACAGGGAGCCAGTCTGCACAGCTGTTTGCAGCAGCATCCAGCACAAACTGCAGATGGGAAATACAAGTCTGTGAGATTCAAGAGTAGCAAATTGCTGTAATTAAGTTAGGATATTAGTGCATGGACAACTTTCCATAAATTATAATTTTTCTACAATTTAGAATCTGTACAGCAGCCATGTAGGACAACTCAGAATCAGACTGTTGACTCAGCTGTATTCATCTATGTACAGACTTTTTTCACAGCTGACATTGCAAAAGCAAAGGTGTGATAAATAACTAATAATAATAATAACTTAATAATTATTTCCAGTCCCTTTCACAATAGTATGTGAGTATATTTTACCCTGCTTATTCGTATCACGTGTTGCTTTTTAATTAAGCTATTACATTCTTAGCCTCGGGTCTTTTTAAACTAAGCTGTGCATTGAGTTGAATGCTAAAATGCAGGCAAGTTAAATTGTGTGCCTGCAGTTAGCATATATTAAATGTTAAAATGCTAAGATTTTTGCATGTTGTAGGATGCACCTGCTCAGAGTTATTTAGAGCAGGTTAGTGGTATAGCAGGCAATGTTTAGTAAGTAACTTTAACATTATTAGCTTATTACTATACTAAGATTAGCCCATTCCTTTAATATGGGCAAGTTAGATTGTTATACTAAGCATGGGAACATATAATATTAGCTAAAGTTACAGCTAAAGTTAATTAGAAATTAGCCAGTCAACTTAAGTGTCAGACAAGTGGAAATTAACTAAGCTGAGGTCTGGATGATATACAGTTTCTAACTTCTCACCACCAGCTGTAAATTTACACTAATGCCACAACATATGTTTCGTGACGTTTAAGTGCTGGGAATGTTAGTATGTTTACAGTAAGCAAAAGTCCTGTGGGTGCATTCTGGGGAGATGCTTTTCATGAAGCTCAGTTATCATGATGCCATAAACCAGTGAAATGAGGCCCAGTTGAAAATAACCAGATTTATATCTGCAGCCAACTGCAGCATATCCGATACTGCAACCCTTTACAGTTAATCTAAATAGGGTACTTCATTAGTTATTTAACAGGGTAAGCCATATATATATATTTATATCATACATTTTATGTGTTATATGATTCTTATCTGTCATAAAACAGGCACATACTGTACTTTATGGTTAGTCTCAGCTGTATGTATTATTAAAAGGGTTGTCAGCCAGTTCTCCTTGTCATATGTATTTGACAGCTACAGTACAGTATTATAAATAGAATGTGAAGGAGTCTATAAATTTACACCTGCTTCTACAAAAGAAAATTAATAATTTAGTCTTGAGGGAAGTGATACAAAGATCATAGTATAATTATGCTTCCACACTGTTCTGTTCCTAAAGAATCTGCATGCATCTTAACAAGTAATTTAATCTCATTTCAATCGTGTTTCGCGTAAAAATGTCACTTGGGTGAGACAGTTTCATTTTGTCTTGGTGCAGTTTCCTTTGTTTCAGTAATTTTGTAGAATGTTTAATCTCAGTATCTTGAAACAAAACAGAATAAAGCAGATTGCTGCACAAGTGTTAACAAAACAACACTTCTGACACATCCTGAAACAAGCTGAATTATTGTAGAGCCACAATAAATAATTGCACCTAATTAGCTGATTTTTTGTTGGCCAAAAAAACCTCTAAACTGGCAGAATGCAAAGTACACACATGCAGCATTTGGGAGTTTGTCTTGTGCGCAAGAGTTATTAATTTCAGGATACATATTACTTATTTACACAATACCTGCCAGACAATTTAATGTCAAAGGAAGTATCAGAAATTTAACCTCTAAAGCAGCAGCTTTCTGATTTAACTACACCAAAATATACGTAACACAGTTTTGCTTCCCATGGAAACAGGTTTATTATGACCGATACTTTCAATAACTATGCCAGAAGTTCTTACATTCACTAGAATGGCAGTAGCCTACTGAGTAATAAATAACGTAGCTCAATTGGACAGAAATCCAACGTGTCAGCACTACGTACCACTGCATCTGTTTTAGGTAATCAAAAATCTGCATTTAATTTTTCATCTTTCATATTATTAAATATTATTTATCCCAACCAATTTGCAGTGTTATAATTCCACAATGCTAGGATTTTAGTTACTTGGATAATCATGTAACAATGTGGCTAATGCTATTAGAGGAGATGAAACCAGGCTGTCATAATGCAACCTCATCAGAATCATGACGTACTAATGCCTGGCCGAGCTCACACAGCTGGGCGGATTACAGCTAGCAGGCAATTTCTGACAGCCAGACCTTGTGATGCCATGACACCGATCATCAACCACCAAACCCCGACCGACCGTCCTCGGAACAAACCAGCAGCACTGTGATTGACTTGCTGTTGCATCACACTGGTTTAAAAGCAAATACTGTATAGTCAGAGGGATCATGAGAAACACGTGAACAAGCTGAAAATAATGTTCATATGCACATGCAAATACAACACAATATCAACACATACAGTATCTGCACAGCGAGCAGTGAGTTAACGTCATAATATGCTCATAATATCTATTCCACTGGCTTACTTTTTAACAAGTAGTTGTAATGAACTGTACTACTTGTGATGCTGAAATCTAGAAATCCAGATTACAGAGTGTATGTGTGTGTGTGTGTGTGTGTGTGTGTGTGTAGCAGATTAGAAATCCAAGCAGGATTTCACTACATCACAAATAGACATACAAACCCATTAAAAGGATTTTCCCTACTACGTAACCTGGAAATATTCATGCCCATTCTGTACAGTAGTGGTACACTCATGCATGCACACGCTTACATACCTTGTCGTCATCTTCGCAGGTCATAACGTTGGAGAAGGGGATCTCAGCCTTGAACATCTTCCTACAGTGCATCAGCTGCACCAGCAGGTAGCACACTGTCTTGAACTTCATCCTCTTGGCTGGTTTGATGTCTGACAGAATAAGACCTGGGAAGATCTAGAAATGAGAACAAAGATAACGAGATGAGCATGAAAGAAAGAGCAAGAGGCTACTGAGAGGTACAGAAGATAGTTTATAGTTTAATTTTGGACCTGATAATGATCTCCTTACATCGCACACTCAATCCTCTGAATCTCACACATTAAACATTTGATCATTCAAGGCTGAAAACTACAACCAGGCTGTGTTTTGTGTTCATTCATTTCCTCTCTCTGAAGAAAAATGTTTTCATCTTGCTTTTATCTATGATGTTCCAATTTCTGTTTGTGGAAATTGAAATCAAGCTCTTTTCCAGCTCTCACTGTTATCACTATCAGTGCTTGAAGTGGAAAAAAAATAGGTGCTTCCCATAAGCATGTTGGTGTGTCTATCAGGTGGTGACCCCACATACACAATATTTATATTACAACAATAACTTTAGCAAAAACTAACAACAACCTGAATGAGTAACTAGTGTAAATTAGTGTATTAGTATAATTTAATAACTTAAATTATACTAATATGCACTAATACAAAGTTACACTTGATTTGGATAGTGTACGTGCAGATAATTTATTCGAGTATTTGTAACATTTCAACAGTTTATTAGTTGAGTTCAACAATTCAACTGTTTCACAAATAAAACCATTTTCTGAGATTACACCACGGTGGTTAAGGTTAGTTTAGGACCAATGTTGTTGCATTCATTATAATTTCTGATAATAGTATAATATGTAGCTTACCACAAGTATAAGATTAATTCTATTTGGATAATATCCTACAGCAGATAATTTTTGATGGTTGTTTTCATTAATTAAATCTTGAAAAATGGTTATTGTGTGTTATGGTACGGTTGTTAATGCTAAGTGCTAACTTGTCGATAATCTTAACCACTCGTGCAGTTTCTAATAAGTGTTGACATCATACATCACTCACTAACCTACAGTTAGCATGTTTACATGCATGCCAGCGACTACAGGAGGTTAAAAAGCTAATGTTTGGCATGTAGCATTTAGCATATCACAAGCTAATGGTTTTTATATACTGTAGTAGCTACTGTTAATCATGTTAGCTTGTAACATTGCTTACATGATAACTACTACCTATTTAACATATTGATTTAAGAATTTATAACACACACAAACCAAATACAACAGTAAGCTAACAAATTTGACTAAAACAAATTTAAATTAACAAAGGGGTTAGCCTGAGAAAATCAGAAAACATATGTAACAAATGGAAACACACACTGGGAATAAATCATATTTACAAAAGACAGTTAGTATTAATATCGTACAGTCTTTTGTGCAAACATGTGTTGTAAGTTATATGCATGCTATATGATTGCATTTTCTTTTCATTAGCTAAAGCTGATGGAAATTCAATAATTTGTTTTAGAGGTATGAACTAACGAGTGAAATGTTTTTTTGTTTACAATGCTAAATGATCAAATTCAAATCAAAATACAAAGGTTTGTTTCAGATTTCCTGGCAAGACTTAAACCTGTAGTCAGGCTGTTCTGTATACATTTCCACTCTCTGAGGCCTTCCAGGTCACTCAGTATATGCAACTTCAAAGCTTCTAAAAATAAATAAATATCCAGTTTCTTTAATGATAAACCTGAGAATAATTTGCATTAGCAGTCAGGAATGGTAGTAAAAGAACAACATGACGTTCCTTAAAATACGAGAGCACGAATTTTAATGTGCTTTGGAGAATTGTCTCTTTCATGGAAATAAAGTAGGCTTGAGTGGGATTTTTACAGTAAACTGTGAGAGCAGGATGTTTGATATATCAAGTGTTATTTACATGTGTGTTTGTGTGTGTGCGTGCATGCTCATATAAATACTGTGCACAAGCTTTCAGCTGTGGATTTAAAACGCTATGAGACACACACGCACTCTCTGGTGCACATGTACAGTTGGTGTGAGGTGGTGATACTAGCCATGTGTATGCCAGCTTAACACATGTCCTGCCTTCCTCTCGGCATTAGAGGATTAAGTATTGTAACACTGATAGATGTGTAGCCTCTCGAGCTGTACGCTGGCGAGAAAAAGAGAGAGAAAATGCAAAAAAGAAATGATTCTGGCGTACTTTGCGTCTGTGTGATGGCACGATGAAATAGGTCTCTATGTGATGTTTCTGAAGGAAGGCATGTCTCTCGTGGCCAAAGCCCGGTTCCACCTCGTAGTCTCCATTCAAACACTCCAGGGTGGTCCTTGTGATGTGCACCTTGCTGAGAGCACAAGCAGAGCACAGGACGCAAGGCAGTTAGTGATGAGTCTGGCACTAAGGTCTCAAATCATTATCCCCCTCATTACTTTTACCGGCCTAATAGCCCCTTAGCTTGCTCAAAAACTTCACAGCAAAGGAATTTTCATCCTAACGACTCATTTAATCTGGTAAAGAGTCCTAAAATCTTATTACTTCACTTGAAACAAGACCAAATTGAGCCAATGAGGTGACCTAATTCCACTGCTTTTTAAATGCTAATCAGCTTGTTACTGTATGAGTTTCCTTGAGTGAAGTGACATTCATTTAACACTAGTGGACTAGTGTCTTATTTTAAGCAGCTCTTACTGTCCTTTTTAGAAAATTCATGAAACTGCGTCAAAGCGAAGTAATTTAATCCCAATAACTTTTAAAAACCAAATATGAAAGATGATGACTTCTTAAAAGGATAGCTCTATTTTATCTTTTAACTATCATTAACAAATTGCATGACAACACTAAAACCAAGAAAATCTATAATAAACTCAGATAAAAATCCATGCCACTGCATTTAGATAACATATTTCGTTATAAGCATGGCAAGTATTGTTTATTCTGAAACAACAGACAATAAAGTCCCTGTAATTTGCAAAAACATAGTGTGTACACATCACTGGTTATGCTCAGAGATGCTGCCCTGCTATGACAAAGCTTTGATAGTGTGTTTTGCTATTTTTGATTTGAGATAAAATGAGATATCCATCTGATGAGTATAAATTTGCAACTGCCAATAAAAATATGCTTTTAGTGTAGAAGCGAGATATAATCCACAGTCTTGTTCTGTGCAAAAATATGCTCTAAATGCCCTAATTAAGTGGAAATCTAATATCTGAAATAATGCTATTGGATTTTTTTTTTAATCCAGTGTCCACCAGGCTCTATAAACAACACTTGCCGTATTTATCATAATGATGAAATACTGTATATATCATGCAATTATAAAGATATTGTTCTTTTATGTGTTTTACATTCTTACTTCCATATCGCATAATTACATGGAGCTCAGCGTTACCAGATATCTCTTAATAAGAAAACTCATAATTATGAATCCTTACTACATCTTTTATAATTTTTAACTCTTCTTATAAATTACAAGATCTGAAAACAAGCTCACAATTAAGAAAACTATCTTATTATTATGACAGCTCTCATAACTATTAGATAGAGATCGCGTAATTATGAGCTCTCAGTAGAGATGGTGTATCATAATCACTGGCTAAATTCACATTTGTTTTGTGTCTTTAAATGGATTTTTTATATATCTGTGTTCTAAGTAATAAACTGGTATGATTATGTCAGCCTTATATTTTAAAATAGAATGGTGTTGCTGTAGTGCATATGCAGAAAGAATATATTAACAATAACTACTGTGATTTGATGCACACATCGTAAGGCTGTATTCTATCTCTGTTGCTGGGAGACTGTGTGACTGAATGTGTGTGCGTGTTGTGTTTGTACTGTGACCGAGTCCAGTTTCAGTGGGTGTAACAGTCAGCACTGACCCCGGCAGGCCTCCGGCCTCCATCACATTTGCCAGTGTGACATCGTTTGACCAGACGTCATACTGCCATTTCCTGAGGCCCAGCACGCCACACAGCACCCGTCCTGTGTGCAGACCAACACGCATGTTCAAATCCACCTCTGTCGCCTCCACCACAGACCTGCAAGGGGGGTGAGGAAGGTTAATCTCTTAAACTGTTTAAACAAAACCAAGAAAATGTAACCGCCACTAAGGAGGTTATGATTAATTCCTGCATCTTTCACTGTTTGTTAGTTAGTTAGCAGGATCTCAAAAAACTGTTCACAGACTTGAGCAAAATTTGGTAGACATTTAGGCAATGGATCAGATATTAGTAGAAGTATTGGTGGTGCTGATCTGGTCCCAGGTGTGCATCGAAGAATATGCGAGGCTCCAGGTATGGCAATGTAAGCCGATGAGTTGGTGGGTCTTCACTGGGTCCACAGCTTTGGTCCAGAAATATGTCAACAACTACTAGTTGGATTGCCATTTGTCTACCAGTCAAACACATGGTTCGAATTACGGGATGAATTTGGGGGGGTTGACCCCCTAGTTAAGGCTCGGACCCGTCATTATAAATATTACAATCTATTTTCCATACTGATGCCTTATATTCAAGAAACTTGAAATATGATTTCTGACTCCAAATGGGCCGTACCATTTCCTAACCTTGACATTAGCGTCTTGTCTGCCCACATCACTTGCAGCACAGCTTCAGTCCAGTGCATCACTGTTTTCACTGTGGAATTCAGGAGTTTTACCTGCCCAGGTAAATGTTAAAATCCAGGTGTGTTATTTCATCAGTTTTATTTATATAGCGCCAATTCACAACAAAAGGCATCTCATTGCACTTTTCATATAGAGCAGGTCTAAACAGTATTCTCTTTAATATTATTTATAGTGGCCCTAAAACTTCCCAACTCCCCAACAGTGTCTGACTACTGCTTTATTGAATGCAGATTAGGCTACATTTCATTCACAGTCAAGATGAGCAAGAGGAAAGGAGATTTTTGCTCAAAAAAAAGTTGAAACTTAAAACTTGAAATGATAATAACTGGTGCAATGAATTTAAGTTATCATCTGCACACATCAGTTAAATAATCAAGGATATTGTAAGCATTTTAAGATTTTAGTTTACTGAAGCCCGCTCCTGAGCTGTACTGGATTTCCTTTTTCACCTGGAAAAAAAGTCGACCCCCCCGGTTGTCACTGTATAATTCTCACCCTGGTTAAACATCAGCATGTTAGCATTGTAATTGTGAGCCTGTTAGCATGCTGATGTTAGCATTTATCTCAAAGCACCGCTCTGCCTATGAACAGCCTCATAGGACTGCTTGCATCACAGTAGACTCTCAGCATTGTTGCTCTTTCCTAAGGAAGTATTTACCTTAATAGATTGAATTGTCAATCACTATGCGGTACTATATGTGATTGCGGAATTGGATCCAAATGCATATTAAACATTTCTGAACATTTTATTTTGCCACGCCTAGAGATATGCACTCACAAACACGTTTGTGGTTTCCTTTTCTTCCTCCAAAAGCCTTAAAACTCTTCTGAACTATGTTGGACAAAAACTCAGCATAGTCTAAACAAATAACATTCTTTACAGTGGTATGTACAGATATGTGTGCAGACCACCTTCACTTCCCTTTGTTGTGGTGCACAGGAGATAAAGCAGGACTTTTCCAAAGCTTCTCCTCTCCTGTAAATCACTACACAAAGCCCGTTGTCACCAGCGAAAGGTCAGCCACTTGATGATGTTTGTGTGTATGTTTACAGGGTGGCGGAAAAGAAAACGTGATCTGCCCGGTCTGAAGGAGGGATGTCACACACACACACACACACACACACACACACACACACACACACACAGAGGGATGCACGTGTATGGCAGCACCTGTCCTTTGAGATAAAGGTCTCCTACAGCCACATCCATCCATTCAGACAGAGCAGCGGGGAAAGGGAACATGACAGGCGAGTATTCACACAAGGAAATGAGGTGTGTGTTTGTATGTGTGTGTATGTGTGTGTCAACATGCTGGTGGCGGGAGGGGGAGGGGGGAGGGGAATGCATGTGTACCAAGTGTCTTTGTGATTGCAAAACTGTCACAAATTCAATTTGTCTCAGTTTGTCTCTGATCTGTTGTCAAAATTAAGACATAGACATGGATATTTCTAACATTGCTTTGGGGGAAAACAACATCTTTCTTGCTGCTAAACTCCTCCTATATCATGTATTACTAATAAATATGTAGACAATGTGAAGGGAAAACTGGGTGATGCAGGGACAATGACTAATAAATACTCTTTTTATCTCTGATCAAAATCTGTCGTAAAAGCTGAAACAGGGTTTTGGAAATAATTGACGAATAAAACAGTAGTTCTGTTAAGAACAGTATGACATGACTGATGTTGTACTGATGGTATTAGTGGTTTTAAATTATAGGTAATCACACCACCCACCCCACTGATCCACCCAATACATTTTACCCAACCTTCATTGATGACCAGAATTTATTTGCTTGTGCTATAGAATAGCAGTTTTATTTAAGAATTTGGTATGTGTCACATTTGGTGAAGATTAGGTAAAGTTTGTAGCAGTGGTACTGAAAAAACTGTTGAAAATTCTAATTTGTTTGTACATCTCTCAGTTCAGGGTTATGGGCTAAAACATGCATTATAAATAGATATATGGTGACGTTATCTGTTCTGAAAACAGACCAGTCGTTCCTTGACTTCTTTTTGACTAACTTTCCAACAAATTTCATTAAAATCTGATGAATTTATGACACATTCTGCAAATTACCAGACAGACAAACTATTTTCTAATTGGAGGTAACAGCAGCTTTAGCAAAACAAAAAGCCTCCCATTTCTGTTAGTATATAATGTAATGTTCATGCATTGTAATGTAGATACAATTAAACCTCATGTGTTGACCTTTACAGATGTGTGTGTGCTCAGATGCATGTTATAGAGAAGATGGGTGTGCATCTGTATGTCAGTGTGTGTGACTCACGCGATTGTGTCAATCATGTCCAGTCCCATCTCCACACAGCAGTGGGCATGGTCTGCCTTGGGTTGGGTCAGTCCCGATACACAGTAGTAACAGTCCCCCAGGATCTTTATCCGCCTGCAGTGATTCTCCTACAGACACACAAAGAGACGGACAGAGGGACAATGTCAGTAATACTAAAGCATGTGTTTTCATTGGTTGGAATGGAGGTAAAGGGCCAATAGTTAGGTTTTAACCAAGTCACTACTACTCCTTTTTAGTATGGATGGCAATATCAATGTCTGTTGGTCGGTCCACCGCTGGTCCAAACTGAAACAGAAACTATAGGATGTATTGCCTTGAAATGTGGTTCAGGATGGATTGTAATAAGTTTGATGATCACTGTTCCTTTAATGCCATCAGAAGGTCAAAATAATTTAATTTAGCCAAAAGTGTGGTTTATGATTAAATACCTGTAAAACAAATGGCATTTTCATCAGCCTCAGCTGTGTCAATGCTAATTTGTAAATGTTAGCATGCTAAAGTCATTGTAGGTTAGCATTGTGACGTTAGCATTTAACTAAAAGCACCATTCTGTGCACGTTTAGCCTCACAAAGCCACTAGCATTGCTGAAGACTGTTAAAACAGCATAGTAAAATGAAATTCTCTGGTAATGCCTTATCACAGCTTACTAATTATGACAGAACCATTGCTATTCTTAAACCTATTATTCTGCTGATGAAACGCTAAACTTGATGACTCTAAAAAGTTTGACAAAGCACTCAAAACACTGATGGAACTAAATCATGATGTACATCGCAGACCACATTTGCCACCTGAAAATTATTCATACTTAATAATGACAAAGAGTGTATTTTTAGTCCTGTTACATGAGATCTGACTGTACAGAAACTGCATGGATGCCGCAGCTGCATCTCTGCTCATGTAAATCAGATGTGTGTATTTGTGCAACCATGTGTGTGTTTGTAGTTGAGGCCAACTCTAATTGCTCCGACATGCTCTTGAAGTAGAATCCCGCCCACACATTCCCAGACAGATCAGCTATTTGTCACAGTGCACATTGTGCACAAACTCTGCAGTGATGACACTGACAAAAACACCAACACACGCTCAAATGTTTAACAACATATTAACACACACAAACATACCTGCAGAAAAGCACAAACAGCAGCACGGTGGCATGTAAACATACTGTACAGGTACTGCGGTTTAGTCGCACACACAGGGTTTCCATTTGGCACTGTGTCACTCACAGTCATCAGAAAAATCGTTATGGTAGACCCAACAAAGCTTAGCCTGCAGGCAGCCTCTGAGTGACAAACACACGTGCACACACACAAATACAGAGGATTCATGACAACTGCAGGGTAAGAGGCGGCGATGAGAAGAGAGGAGAGGGGGTGCTCTGGTTTTCTGCTCACGGGAGCAGAAAGATTCTGGCGTGGGAGGATATGAGAATTCAGAACGTGGATGATTATCCCTGCGCTGGGAACAGAAATGTGTGTGTGTGTGTGTGTCTGTGAACAGAAATGATAGAGAAATTGTCAGCTGACAGAAAGCCATATCGCAAGAGAAAAGTATCTGCGTGTGTTTTTGGAAATTTGGGATTTTAAGCCAGCTGATTGGGGATGGTTTGTTTTACTGGGGGAAAAATCAGTGTCCCCAAAGTTTAGGTTGAGCCTCCAGGGAATAAATGTGTTGTGTTAGCATACAGCAGTCAGACAGACTGAGCAGCTGTGACAGAGCCAGTTTGAAAGTGAATTTCTCCCTCGCTAACACGATAGGGTATAAATCTGAATTAGGATGCAGCTGCAGCTACACACACACACACTCACACACATGCATGCAATATATCCTCATCACAAGATTTCCATATAATAGCTTTCTGAGTGCTGGAGCACAGATAGCAAGCCACACAAGTCACCTCGTATCTTGCTCTTTCTCCCCCTCTGTCTCTCTCCCCGCGTTAAGTCATGACTGATTGTTGAGATGCAGAATGAACTCAAGAGGGATAATCCTGCTGATCATGTGACTTTGTGTGTGTGTGTATGTGTGTGTGTGTGTGTGCGCATGCAGAAAGCAAGAGTAAACTGTCTGAAGAGACCTCTTATCCTGGTAGAGGAAGAGTTCAGTGTGAATGTGGTGTAACTGACATAATGGGAACAACTGACTTATAAGTCATTGGATCATCTTCTCTTGATGAGATCCATTTTACGATCACAACATACACGTATAACAATTAGAAATCATTTTAATCATTATTTAATGATTAACTAGGCTGCTTTGAGAGCAAAATGTGTGCATGAAACACTGTAGTGTTCAAGCATTTTAAAGATGTTTTTAAAGTTGCTCTATATTAGGAATTTATCCCTAAAATTGGATGGATTTCGGGCTATTTAACATAAACTCCAAATCTGTTGTAAAAAACACAAGCAAAGAAAACACGCTATCATTTATTGTTATTATCAATTTTAGCTGTATCAGTATTTTTAATTATTGTTTAATTCTCACACATCCAGAATTTCTAAATTTGGTAATTTTTAAAGCTGCATGTGTCTATTTATGGCCACAAGGGGGAATTAACTCCAATATTCACTTTCTTTTAGATCTAGTTTGGTCACCACCAACTCCTGATGAAGACCATGAGATGCGTTAGAAAGCCCCAGTGCTGGTAACGGCACCTTGGGTTAAGATGATTTTGTCAACTGCTATCTCTTACAGCTGCAGCAAGTGGGTTATTTAACTCTGTGTGTGTCTGTCTGTCTGTGTGAGTGCTTGTACTTCCTACATACTGAGGACCGACAAGATTTTAACCTACAGAGTGAGGACATTTTTGGAAAGTGAGGACATTTTGGCCGGTCCTCACAACTTCAAAGGGCAGTTTGAAGGTTAAGACTTGGTTTTAAGGGTTAGGGTAGAATTAGGTTTAGCTTAGGATTAGGGCTGGCATTTTAGTTGTGATGGTTAAGGTTAGGGTAAGGGTCCAGGAAAAGCATTATGTCAATGACGGTCTTCACAACTATAGAAGTATGCAGGATATGTGTGTGCGTCTGTGTGTATGCATCTCATACAGTACTAAATGATTATAGTAGTATGGCGGCAGATAACCTATCACTCACCTTCTTTCCCTGAGAACAATGCAACAAAGGCTTACTGATGTACAGTGTATGCTACTATACACACTCTCTCTCTTTATCGAGTGCAGTAGTCCCAGTAGCACACACACACACACACACATACACATACACACACACACTACATGCTCAGCCCTTATCTCCCCTATGTCTAAAAATCGGTTCACTCATCTCTCTTTCACACCCTTCCACTTCCTTCTCCTTCTTGACCTTCATCTCCTCCTCCTCCTCCTACACGCCAGTCAGCCTCTCCAACTTTACTTAACTGTTGGATCAATATATGACTTGGCATAATAAATGAGCTCCAGGACTAAATAATACATTTCTTTTTCTTGGAGGCTTTTTGTGCTGCAGAGGAACAACAGGCGAAACAGGAGCTCACCAACTGTTTAGTCACTTGTAGCCAGTCTGCCTCCCCCACTGTAGGCTGGCTGTGATGGCTCAGTGACATTATCTCATAAATTTTAATTTACCTAAGGGGAACTGAACTTTAACGACGTTAATTCAGATCAGAACTAACCCTTTAAAATACCAAAGTCCCACGAAAACACAAACAAACTAACCTAACGAGGTAATAACAGAACTCTTGTGTTTGCAAGGTAAAATCTGTTGATGTCAAAGGAGTCTGGTGGCTTTAAAGAGGGCATATATGGATATATGGCTTCAGTTCCCCATCAAGTAAAGTGGTGAAAATATTCTAAATATAGCGTACATTTTAACTGATATTGTTTGCTGGCTAAAATATGGTTCTGCCCCCATCCACAGCAGCACATTGGTTAGCTTCTGTACTGGTACTCCTGTCTGGTTCTTCAAAGTAAGGGTGTGCAGACCGCCATCTCCTATAGGTAATACACTGACTATACTATGGATTACTATGGACTTACTGTAGCCAGCTCATCAAACTTCCCAAAGAGTTCGTTGAGCAGTTTGACCAGTTCCTGGGCAGTGCACTGAGAAGCCAAGCTGGTGAAACCCACAATGTCTGCAAAAAGGATGCTGTCAGAAGAGAGAGAAAGAAAGACAAATTATAATTTGCTGTGAAAAGCTCAACTTGTCATGACAGCTGATTTTAAATTTGTTTTCTTCCTCGTGTTCATTAAGACTCTGTAGTTAAAAACTACACTAAAAATACATTTCCACAAAAAATTAGTTAATGGTGATCAAAAGTGAAGCAAGCAGTGAGTACCATAATCACATCCCTGATAAGTGAAAGTGTCTTTTAGGCCAACCACTAAATCAATTAGAGAGCTAAATAGCCTGCTGCTGGCTAGCTGCTGTAGTGGGGATGAGGAAGGTGTTGAAAGCTACTTAGCCCCTCATTCATTTGCTCTGAGGCAGGCCAGATGGCAACAAAACAAGGTGTTATGGATCTTATTGACTCTCTGTCCAAAAAAAAAAAAATCATTGCTCCCACTGGAGTAAAGGCATCAGCATTAGAGCTGTGTGTACAGCTGGGTATAATTTTTTTTAATACTGACACAAAAACAATATTTTTTTCAACAATCTAACAACTATTAGATGGATTACCATGAAATGTGGTACAGATAATCACGTTCCCCTCAGGATGAATCTCAATTACTTTGACGATCCCTTAACCGCCATCATCAGGCGCCATTATCAGGCGCCGTCATCAGGTCACAGTTTTAATGTCTCCAATGCTCTGGTTTATGACGGATTACATGCAAAGGCCTCAGCTGTACTTAATGTTTAGTGCTACATAGCAAAAGTTAGCTTGCAAATACTCTTAACCAGGATGTTGACCATACACATTATACACATTATCCCATCCAAAGTCCAGAATGAACTTTCACACTCAGTTTAAATTATTGTTTTCTGCTCTTCCTCCACAAGATTAGCTTTAGGCACAAAAACTACTTGTTTAAGATTCTTTTTATTAATCCATCCACCCCAACCTCCTACTTTTTAGTTTTTACAGAACAATTTTTGACAGACAAGAGTTATAATTCACCAAAGGTCTTTGTCGGGTAAGTGCATACATTGCAGATTTTAGGTATGTGAAGAAACTAACACTCTTTTTTTTCTTGTGAGAAGAGTCTCCTTAACACCAGCAGCTATACATGAAGTTTGCCTCAATAAAATAGTTTAGAATTGGCAATCAGGAACTCTGTGAGAAGAGACTTTGTAAACAAGATGTATCTGACCAGACATGCAATGCCAACTTACTTGACAGTTTTAGATACTCGGTGCAAGGGAAACATTTTGGTTGGTACCCAAGTAATAAGGTTCAATTCCAAGCTCTAGCTGCATGAAGAGGGCCCTTCCTCTGCATCGTGACTGAGTTGCTCTTTTTTGCAGAGCAGTATAGTTGCTCAGGAGCCTGATGTATGTAAAGCTGGGATCACGACTGCTGCTCGACAGAAGAGCTCTGTTGTGTGATTTGTCTTTGAATGGTGCTGTTCTGCAGGTCGTGCTGATGTGTGGTGGGTGAGGAGGAGAAGGCGAGAGGAGTGGGGAGGGGGAGCAGAGCGGTGGCGGAGCTGATCAAACGTTCTCTGGGCCACATCAAAGGGGGGCCAGATCAGGAAGATGTCACGCCCCTGCTTGGCAAAATAAAGCTGACATTTGGGGTTTCTTTAACCACCATGTGTTTACATGTGCATGTGAGTGTTTGCAGCAGCTCCCTGGAGATGGGCGGGAGCTGGTTTGCTGGGTCTAGCAGCGTGATGTTTGGCCGAGTGCCAGCGCGGCAGCGAGGCTGGTGAACGGGCAGTGATGTTCCTGAACTGTGACTGAGTGTGGGAGCCGAGCAAATAGGCAGACAGTGAAAGAGAAAAAGAGGCAGACATAGACTGGAGAGGATTGTCTCTCGACAGGAGTGCTGTTGACATGCTACCTAGCCCTCCACTCCCACACTCAGCAGCACTGATACAGCTCTCCTTTTCTCTTTACTGCCTCAATCGAATGTAATCAGCTCCAAGTCAGGTCAGGTTCTCACACTCTCACACTAATACTTTCTTCATTAAAAGTGCAATAAAGGTGGCTGGGCTGAAAAAATCATCATTTCATTACTGATTAATATATAAAGTATTTTTCCAACAAATCAACTAACTAATTAGTTTTTTATTCTATAGTATATTCTATAAAATATTACATAAACATCACAAATTCTCAGAATCAAAAAGAGTGCCCTCAATTGCTTCTTTCAAAGTCAAAACCCCAAAGAAATTCAACTTACAGTAGCTTAGTTTCCATCATTGTATTTCTGTGCACAATTTGAAGTATTGCGTTAGAAAAACTTGATGTCAAGGCAAAAATAAAACTTTGTAAATTAAATTTCTTTTTACGCTTGTTTGACGTGGTTTTTGCCTTTTTTGAAAGAGTAATGCGCTTAATGGGCTGATTGAAAAGAGAAAAGCTATAAGGATATATAGAATTCAATTGTTCATCCAGTCCGTTTCAGAGTTTGTTTACATTATATACATATAGCTACAAGATTGCATTGTTGTGTTGCTTGCCTGAGACCAAGTTGTGAACGCAATATGAGAGATGGGATAGTATCATACAGTGCATACACAGTGCTGCATCTGCACTCATTAGATTTAAAATAAATTTAAAATGAGCAAGGTTATGTTTGTCAATCAATGAACTTTTTAAAAATCTCACCTCCTTTCGTAGTTTACAAAATTATGATTTGTAATCAGTGAATGAATAATGATTAATTCACTGAATTATGAATTATGATTCGTTCACTGAACTCAAACAATAAACATGAGCCCTGGCCCTGATTGATAGACAGTCGCTGAGTCACTCAAGCCCGCCGCTCTCATGTCATGAAGTATTGAAGTAGGAAGTAGTACCTCATTTTTATTTAAATTTAAAATGAACAATTCAGTGAATGGATCCTTTGAATTAATATTTTCAATGAATCGATTCTTACTATTCCATTCACTGAAAAACTGCTTAGCCCATCACTACTGTTTTTCTTTCTTCTTCTTCTTTGAGGTTTATTTGCAGTTAGCTGGTTTTGTGTCCGGTTCACGACTTTCATTTTTTCTACTTTGTTTATTACAGCCATGTTAAACGTAGCCTATACGTCCAACTTCTGATAAAGCTACGCTGTAGCCAAGTTTATTCACTCCAAACCGGTTGATTGATCAAATTGTCATTTTCTTTTTTACAACAATTTAACAGTTTGCTTCAATACTCACTTGACAATTCGATGGAAACACGGCTAATGAAACAGAGAATAACAGCAAGTCCTTGTATTTGAGGTGCTGGAAAAAGCAAGTGTTTGGCATTGTCTTTGATAAATGATTTAAATGATTAGCCTTCTGTCAAAAATCGATTAATCAACTTATCGTTGCATCGCTAGACAAATTGATTAATCCACTAATCAATTAATTCCCAGGGTGTAATTTAATACCAAGGCTTTATGATTATGTGTAATTTTGTAAAGCAACAGCTTTCATATTCCTCTAGTGTATGCTGTTGCCAGTAAAAAGGGGAACAACTTTAAACTGGAGGATTCAAATTCCACTTTCCCAATCCCTGAGTGCCACTAAATTCTTGTTAACATCAGAAAGTCTGTCTCCAAAACTACAACAACACCAAAAATAGATGAGACGGAGTAAATAAGCATTTTCTAATCTACTGGTCGTGACAACTGCACAGGCACCAGTGCTCCTTCCCTTTTCTCTTTCTAACCTTTACGCAGTTGCGTTTGCGTTAATGGCTTATTTTAATTGATCTCCTTCTATTCTTGACCTTGCAAGTGACACCTGGATCAAAACATTCCAGCCTCTCCGCACACCTCTGTGGCCCGCAGTTGTCATGACACCCCCATACCTGACATTGTCATGACGTTGGATGTAGATCTTGTGAAAGATCCTTTCAGGAGGCTTCAGGAAGTCCTCCTTCATCTCCATGGCAACATTCCTGGGCAGTAGGCTCATTAGCAGACGCTCCTGAGGAGGGATGGTTATCGGTGTTAGAACTTAGGGAAACAGGAAGACATGGACAAAAATGTACACAGTGTAAGCTTGTATTCCTGCAGGTGTAAGAAAACAAATACAAACAATTTGCTCTTTGCTCCGGTGCAAACATCCAGACACTGCTTATTCTGGCAACCAGAAATAAATATACTGCCTTGACTATAGCAGTGAAATGATTACTCAATCAACCTAGTAGTCAATCAAAACAAAATCAATCAACAACTATTTCATTTTTGGAACCAATCAACTGATAAATCCATTTGTTAAGCGAAATTGCTAAACATTTACTGGTTCCAGCAACTTAAAGGTGAGGATATGTTGCTATTTTTACACTGTAAACTCAATTGCAGATAAAATGGCAGATTCCTTCATTAATCGCAAATTATTTTGATAATCTATTGTGTAATTATTCAAACTCAGATGCAAAAAAAAAAGACCTGGGTCCAGTTGTTCTATTGAAAAGATTTGATGTTTTTATTTGTCTAATATGATCTGAGTATCTTCGTGTACCTTTGCTTTTTCAGTCAATGAAACAGCTTTCTGATAATCCCAGATGATTTAAGAAAAATAATAAGCAGATTAATCAGTAATCAAAGTAATTGTTAGTTGCAGCCCTCAACTGAATATCTGTGACTATTGGACAATAATGAAAACAAGAAATTTTAAGACTTTGAACTCTATTAATTTAATGAGCATTACCACTATTATGTGTCATTTTATAGACTAAACAAATAATTGATTAATCAAATCAATAATCGTGAGGAAATTAATTAGTTTGCACCCTACTTTAGATGACAAAAACTGTTACTGAACTAACGAGATGTTGGACCACAGGAAGATAGGGGTGCAACTGATGATTATTTATCTATCAATGAATTTTTTGGATTAATCATTTGAGGTAAATAATTAATTGTGAAAAAATGCCTATTACAATATCTTAGAACACAAGGTAATATCTGGTGTCCATCCTACAGTCCAAAGCCCAAAGCTCTTCCATTTGCAGTGACACAAAATTGTGACAGAACAACACTTTAAATTCTGTTCAGTGACATTTTACTAAGTCCAGTGTTATTGTTTTCCAATGGGAAGTGGACACTATGGTGTAGTTAAGAGGAAAATTGTGGTTAAGGCACATGGTTAGGGTTAGCCAACTATAACATAAACGATCATTTCTGGTCTGTGATAGAAGTCAAAGTCCAGACTTCTGCATTAAACACAGTACAAGCCCATTAACCACACCGACTTACACAGCTTTACTTTCTGTCTTGCTATATAAAAGATACACTAATTCTTGCATTGACACTGAATGTTGGCTGTAAATCGTGAGGTGCAGAAGCATCCGATACAGATTCATACTTAGAGTCTGGGCTGAATCCTCACATTTGAGAAGGTAGAACTGGAGAATGTATAACTTAAAGGGTTAATATTGTTGTCAATTCATTTTCAATAATCAACTAATCTTTTCAGCACTAAGCACAGCCTAAGGTAGTATCTACACAGATCAGCATGTTTGTTTTTTTGTCTCAGTAGCAGCAGCATAAAGTACAACTCTAGCAGGATGTCAAATGGTTGTGAATGCACAATGAATCATCAGGCGGCTCAGCTGAATAGCTGCTGAGAGGCAGCATTACAAAAGCAGAAGGGGCTTTCCTGTGTCTCCCTCCAACACCGCTTCACATTGTACATCCATTCACACAACTGCTCCTCATCTGTGAATAAAAAAAGGTAAATTAAAGTGCAGCTTTATGTGCATGCTTGTGTGTTTGTCCATATGTGCTTGTGTTTCAAGCTTTTGCGCTAATACACGTGTCGGGAGTAAAAATCGCGATAACCAAAGTGTGAAGATGAGGCCATTTTAATGAAATAAATTATTCATCTGGTTTTATTAATCTCTTCCATTTCTCTTTCCTGAACGTGTTGTAATTGCACATCAATAATTCCCATTTCTCTGATCTGTCCCAGGCGTAATTCACTGTGTGCTCTGTTTGACTTGGCTCTTCCTCATAGTGGTTTATTAATGAACCACTGGCTCACTTTCTCTCACATTAACATGAATAATCCCTGTCCTCCAGATTAACAAGAGGAGGCAACTCCCACAAAAAAATTTACAATTTGAAACTTCAGGAATCCAACTTGTTTGCACAGAGTGGAAAGTGAATGCTTTGTCAGGAGGAAGAAAAAGCCTTTTTCTTTAAGCTTAATTCTTGTCATAAGAAGATATCCATGACAAAGGAACAAAAAAAAAGATAGCATGGAGGTGAAAAGAGAAGAAAATGTGCAATAATCTGTAAGGATAAGCCTATTGACTTACAGTGTGACAGACTGATGACACAGTGTTAACAGTATATAGATTTTATTCATGTATCCCACCATGAATAAAATCTATATTGAACAATACATTGTCATTTTATGGAAACTGAATTGAAAAAAAACAGATGGCAAGTTGGCTAATCCAATTAAATGAATTACTGACAAATTTACCACAAGTTCTCCAATGTACTTGTTTTACATTTTACCATTTATCAATCCTGCCCAGTGGTTTGCATGATTGTCCGCACTGGTCTGATGCAGCCAGAGGATGAAAGGGATAGCTACCTCTGATGATTGACCACTACATGTCATTTCACAATATACAGTATATGGGATAATTTTTACTAAGCCTAATGGTTCCTAAATTTGAGAGACTCAGCTCAGTAGCTTGTATTGGATGCCAACAGGGCCATATGGTGTGAGTTAATTCCTGATCATTTATGTTGGAAATATCAAACAAAATAGAAATATTTATACAATACAGTAAAGTGGGGGAAAATGTCATTGAGGTTTCTTGGTGCCTCGGTGACCCAACTGATTAATGTATCAAATTTGACCATGTGGTTCAAGTTTGCATGATGATTCTAAGGCTTTGGAAAACACTCCTGACCTGAAAGACTGGTTTACTTTCATGTTAAAAGTGCAGTCAGATGAACATAAGGACATATAATTTAATGACAACAAAGGAGAAATCCATGAGCTGTTGAGACCAGAAAAATGACAGCAGTGGATGGTTGTTCAAACACTTCAACTTCAATTGTTGTGCTATATTTATGCAAAAAAAGTTCATTCTTGACTGTAGTTATCTTAATTCAAAGTTCACTTACTAGGTTTTACTGAGGCTTTTGGCCAGATCATTCAATCTTTAGCAGCAGATGGAGTTTGCTTAGTTGTCATGGAAGTGTCTTGAACCTCAATCGTGCAACAACAGGAGGCCGTTTATGACTTTAAATAACTGATGGAAAGAAGACAGATCACCCAAGTTCCAAACAAAAAGTCGTGAGATAAAAACTGAGCCAAACAAAGACTGTGAGATGTGGTTGAAAGATACGGAAAAAGCTAGTAAGTAAGTAAGTTATGGTCTTTTTGGCAAACAGGCTTTTTGGTCATCTGAATAACGTGTTCTCTCTCAAAACTTAAGATACAAGTATGACATTGTTGTAGCACCCCAAAACCTTTTAGGGAAGACAACATGCTGGATTGTTGGGCGTGACCTTTGACCTTCCCATAACACCTGGTAGTTGCATAGACATAACCAATCCTTAACCATATTGTAGGCAGATAAGGCAATGTTGGTATTAGTTGCTTTTTTCATGGTCATTCTTGAGTTTGGAAATAGCAGTTTAACTCAACGTCCACATATCACCTTTTTCCTGGAGCTTTCATTCATAACAAACAATCTTCATCCGTAGATGGAGTCATGGATCTGTTGAAGTACGAGCTCAATAGCTACTAAAAGCCCTGGCAAAAGCTAGTAAATGGACCTTTAGATGGGACGTTTTTATCAAATTACTATATCCAAGGTCAAGAATGAACATAGATGCTTAAATTGCTATGGAAGAAACCATAACAGCTACTGAGCTCACATGTCAACAGATCAGTCTCCATGACTATTGAAGAAATATCATCTGCAAATGAAGACTGTGTCACAGTTTAAAGGTTTAGAATAAAGATGCTAAGTAGACCTTGTGCTGGGATTGTTTTGTTGCGGTCAAATTGACCATGTTAATTTGTTGTTTATGTCCGAGCACTTATTACAGATGTCAGAAACACTTTTGAGTAATGTCAGGTTGTATTTTACTGTGTTTTTTAAAAACTACACAGTGCCTCAGGGTTCTGAGATAGCTATTGAACTAAGAAGTCAATTTTCCACCCAGACATACAGCACATTGCCTACACATGTTCAGGAATCAATACAACCTATGGATCCAGCTTAAAGCAAAGACCTGAGCAAAGAATTGAGTGATAACCAGTGGCCTGTTTGATGGCTGAAATTCAAATCCGAGACGTTTGTACGTGGGCACATAGGCAGCAGCCTGGTTGGAGGCTGTTGGTAGATCCCATTCAGGGGCCTGTGTGTGTTTCACTCACCCAGATAAACTGTGACCTTTCCTGGAGTAGGGAGGCCATGGAAGCAATCTGCTTATGTAATTACCTGTCAGAAGGGAGCCTGTTACTGCTGGGGAAAACACAGCATATCATCATCTAATCTACAAAGCGCAGGTGCTAAGTGTGCGTGTGCGCTCACGAATGTTGTGTATAACAAAGGTAAGAAGCATATTACATACATGGGACAATTAATTGTCTATTAAACAACTGATGTAGGTGTGTTTCGTGCACATGGCGGGCGAGTAGGGTGCGGTACATAACAAAGTGTTTCTGTGTGTTAAAGTTGCCTGATTGCTCCTTTGTTAAATCGCTGCATGTAGGTGTGTGCGTGCAGAGGGGGTGGAATGTGTGGCACTGGTACATGTGCCACAGTAATTGTTCTTTCCTTAAATAGCTGCTGTCATAGTTACTGCGTGCCTGTGGGCATGTTGTTAGAATACATTGGCACCTGAAACCTTCAAAAAAAAAAAAAAACTTCTCAAGAGACTGAAGATTTCATGAACATACGCGCTCAAGACGAGGTGTGTGGAAGCATGTCTTTCTCATCCCGCTCTCCTTCTGCTGTTTTCTATTTGTGCATTTGTGTGTTTGTGTGCGTGTGTAAATTCACGACTCACCTGTTTCTCATTTTCATCCTCCAGTCTCAGCCTCTCCTCGATGCAGTTGCGGGCTTGCAGGAAGACTTTCCTCTGGGTGCGCTCAGTGAGAATCCTCACAAACACCCCCGACAAGTTGACGCTGGTGAATAGCACTGCGTTGGCCACCAGCTGCACACAAACAAGAAAAGACATGCCAAACAAAGCTGGCAGTGGCCTTTTTTTTTTTCACTGTATGTCCATGTGAGCCTGAAGGAACACACATGTCGATATGTGCATTTGTGTGTACAATCATACATCCCGGCTAGATTAGACTTCACAATCCTTGATTAATCCACGGGATGGAATGAATGGCAGACATCAAGGTCAACACAGTGATTTCAACATGAAAGCTTTACAGTGGAAAGGCTGACAAACAAAGTGCATTATTGGTTATTGATCACAGACTATTGATTCAAACACTTCATTTGGATGATGGACTCTGTAGCCACTCTGTGTCGTCGCTTCTTAGGAGGTGAGAGCTGAAAGGTCAAAGAACACTCTAATCACGCAAAGCTGGAGATACCTTTATTTTTCTTATTTTTTTCTTAAAGCTCCACAAAGGTCGATTGCTTGATCATTTTACATCTTATGCCACGTAAAAATTACAGACAAAACAATTCAAGAAGAATTAGTCTTAGATTTAACTGGTCATTGCCCAATGACAGTCATAACCTGGTGGCAAGTGTAGATAGCTTCATTTTAGGAGTAACCTGATTGTCTTATAGGAAATATCTCAGAAACCGTATTTAACATGATGTTGATGTGTGAAAATACATCCTGAATACTAAATGATTACTTCTGCTTACAATCTGGGGCACAAGGACCAGTGAAAATTCAGCACTAAGTTGTGTACGTGGCTCTGCAGGATCCTCACTGCGTGCTTCAGCACCGACAGCTGGACAGCTCCTCCTCTGCCTCATTACAGAGGTAAGCAAAAGTGAAAGTTTGTGCTCGTTCCCAGTTTTACAGCTACGATTCCCTGGAGCTAAATCGATCAGGGGTTTTTAAATCTTTCTTCTCCAGGAAAAGTTGGACGTGCGAGCGTGATGTTTCTCAGCACCACTCATACAGACTTCATAGCCCAGCTGAGAGCTTCCCACAACTACAGTCTTCTACACTGGAGCGTCTGCTCAAGGCTGGTTTTAGAGTGAAAGGGGGACTCAACTCTTTGATATGATGATGGCTTAAGTGAAAAAAAATGTTAAAGATTCTAAGCATAAAGCAATAGAGTTGGTTGAGTGACTGAAGAGCTGATCAGGATGCAGGTGCAGCACTTACCGGTCTCCATAGCTTTTGTTTCCTTCCAGTGACCGACGTCGCTATGACAATGAAGTGGGATGCAGCCAGCATCACCCCGAACAGCACAGCCAGCAGCGTCCGCACCGGCAGCAGCACGTAAGCCACGAGGGTGACTAGCATGAGCTGCCACACGCCTTGCTCAGGGGTCCCGGCGCTCACCGGCTCCGAAGTGGCGAGTGCTAGCGGGAACGGGCAGCAGAGCAGCGCAAAGGTGAAGCTGAAGAGCAGGGCCAGCTTCGCTATTTGCTGCAGCTGCGTCACCTGCAGGTATTTAACGTTGGTGACGATAAACAGCGACAGGAACACCACGCAGTGCACCGGGTAGGAGCCCTTGGACAAGGTGAGACGCGGGTTGGAGAGCAGCTCCATCAGGGACAGAGACGACGCGGCCACGATGAGGACCGCCAGCGCTTTGAGCGTGGCGGTCTGCTCCAGCTTCAGGTTGTAGTTTTGAAAGAGAGCTTCCAGCTCCTGGCTGTTGAACTCGTCCTCGCAGGCGATGGCGCCCAGGCGTGCACCGGCCGGACAGTGACCCTTCCTCCGTCGGGTCTTGACTCTTTCGAATGGCATCTCCTCCATGTTCCGGCCATTCATGAAGCGGGGGTGGCGCACGACCCCTCAACTTTTCTTTTCCTCTCCTCCGTTCTGGAATCGACCGGGCACCCTCTCCCAGTTCATGCGTCCTGGATGTCCGGATTGATGTCAGAGGGGAGAGGGTGGCAGTGGAGACAACAGAGCCCCGTGCGCGCTCTATCCACAGGTTGACGATTGTCGGTGTGTCGTCAGAAAAGTAGCCCGACCAATGTGCAGCACGCCTCTCTCTCTCATTCTCATTCTCTCTCTCTCTCTCTCTCTCTCCCTCTCTCTCTCCGACCACCTGCGGTGCTTCAGACAGGGTTGCCCCTGATCATGCGCTCTTACAGGAGGGACCACGCTTGCCTATGATGATAGTCAAAACACATCACCACGAGGCTTGGCGAACAGCCATGTCACGTAAAAAACAATTTGACAGTATTTTCTCCGGTCTTACTTTCTCTCGCGTCTGAGATGCACAACTAGCTCACAAACCTCAAATATAAGCCTACATTACTGTTTGTCCTTCTCCTGCTTTAATTTGCTTGAGCGAAATGTCAGTGGTTGGGTGAAGACAGCAGCAAAACAGCGCTGGAGATTTCCCCTCGCAGTGTCTGCAGTCAGAGCTGATGTAGTTCCCAGCTAAAAATAGACCAGCTGCATCGGTGGATGGTCCAATATAGCAACAATTTGGTCTTTCCCGCATCTGTATTTCTCATACATTTTATTGCAGAGTCAAGTGTTTTTTTTTCAAACAGAGAATTAACAGAAAACACGTTACAGAGGGGATGTAATAGTCCTGCAGGGGGACTAAAAATAAGCTCTCTTCCCGAATTGACTGTGAAAATGTAAGAGTGAGGACGTGCATCTTAAACTGTGGTGCACCGTTGTATATGGTTGAGGACATGTTTTCTACATATGTGCATAGTTTGTGCATGTATTTGTGCATATTTTGTGCACGCATTTGTGTTATGCTGTGGGTAATCTAATGAGTTTAATTTGAGTTTTACTTAAACACCCAAGAGGATAAATTTTGTTCCTGCAGAACAAATATTGATAGAATAAAGACATATCAAAATGTAACCAATGAAGGACATATAAAAATGTAACTGACTATTTCAAAAATAACTATTTCAAAGCAGAACTATGAATTATGGGAGAATATGGGAAACAAGGACAGGGTAAATTGTCTTCAAAACAGCACCAGCTAAAATAGCAAGTAATTGACAAGAAAAGTAAAAAAAAAAAGATCTTTAGGATATTCACCTCAGGTTTAAATTTGGTGTAGAACAAATAGTGACAGAATAAAGGCCTCCTTCAGTGACAATATAACTAATGTTAGCAGGGAATATAAACTTGCAATATGGAAGAACGTAAGCAAAAATATTGCAGAAGTAAAACATGTAGAAAATATCATTATAAAGGAGCCAAATAAGATGCCAAAAAACTGTTTACAGCAGAGGTCTTCAGGATATCAATAGGGGTTCAGCCAGATTAACCGTTTTGGGGGGCCTGGGGTGAAAATAAATTTTATTAACCCTATCTCTGTGGATTATGTACAGTATTCTTCTGCTGCATTATTATACGGCCCCAGGTTTGCAGTGTGGTAATCTTGTTAGACATACGAGTATGCACTAGCATCAGTTGAAATATTCAGTCTTAAAACTAGAGTTTTTATCAAAACAACTTCTATTGTGTTTTACTTGTGTATATTCTAGGGCTGTCCCCGACTAAGGATTTACATAGTCAGATCAGAATCGCCAAATTCAGTCGACTGATAGTCCAATAATGTGTGTTTTTGTGCGCGGCAATTGCGATTGCGAGCAGAAGCTACTGCAGCTGCGTGCACGTCGCGGTTCCTCCAGGGTCTGTTTCAAGTAGCTGGCTTTTAAAAACGATAAAATATTCTTTGTGTGGTTCATCGACAGTGATAAATTTTTCTGAAAGTCCTGTGAGGTGGGACAACTTGGCACAACACCAGTGAAGCTGGGGCTCCGTCTCTTCCGCACTGCCCCTACATACATAGGCCTATAGGCTACGCGTACACATGCACACTGATGACTCAGGGTTAGGGTTAGACTACAGTTTTGGATTTATTCACGCACTTTAAAAATATTTATTGAAAGTTTTATTCTTTTTACAGGTTTATTTACAGCATTTAATGTTGAAATGTATATTGTAATAGGCTGTATATTAACTTATTGGGAGAAAACTGGTAGTTCTGTGTAAAATCAGATGTTGAGCTCCTCCATATCACCAAAATGGCGTGATCCTCGTTTCACTGCGAAGCTTTGACGTTGAGACTGATAGTCGAATCAGGCTCCGCCCATCAAAGCATTGAATCTTCCAATATTCAGGGTCAGTCCTTGTATATTCCAAAACAAAATTACATTTAACGGAATTACTACAAAACTACAGTAAACCTGGGAGGTTTGCTGGCCCCATGAGGGTCTAGGACCCCAGGGCAGTTGCCCAATTTGCCTGATTCGCAATCCAGAAATTACAAAGCAAATCGCATAGATCTGTCAGTTGGATTTAAATGTGAAAATTAGTCCAGGATGATAATAAAATCCTGTATCAGCAACTATTTTAAAATAAATTGCACCTCAACAGTGTGATGCTTCCTCCTTACAGCTTTACATTACATCTGAGCACTTAACTGCCAGGTCAGACCAGAAACCAAAATAACAGGCTTTCAGTATCTCAAAAAGTGCACATTCAGAAGACAAATGCAGATGTTTCAGTGGCCCTTTTTGATCTGAGTGCACAAGTGCCTCAGATCACTAAGATCTCTGAGGAAGTCAGTGAACTGGCTCATCAATGAAGAAGTCAATGTGAAGCACTTTGGGCCCTCCCAACAAAAAGTCTCTGTATGTGCACAGTCAATTACTATGTGGTCAATATCCACTACTGTCCAGCATGTTTTAAATCAATAGGCTGCAGAGTCAAGATCACAAGAAGAAAGACAAGCTGACTCCTATCTGTGGGGAGACTAATAAGATTTTGTCTAGTGGTCCTTTTCACGGAGTGAAAACACATTCTCACTGTAAAGTGTCTGCACTGTCTTAGAGTTAGTCTTACTATAAAGCCTATAAATAGACTTATTTGGCTATGAATGTGGTCGACATACTGCAAAGATATGTCCCTGATAGAGTCCCTTTTTCTGCTGCCCACGGCACCAACACCTCAGAATATGGTGGTTTACAAATAAATAACTTTCATTAGCACTATTTGGAAAGTTTAAATTAGTTAAAATTCCAACATCTACAGTAAACACAGTGAGAGATAGACATTAACTAATAATAACACATTATATATTAAGCCCACTATTTAGCATTTATAAGCAGTTGAAAAAAATCACAAGTTAATAGCCATGACATATTATTATATAATTGTAAGCATTTATTTTGTAAACAAGAAGAAAGAAAGAGAAGAAACTGGCTATTACATTAATGCTTAAAGAAGTCCTGTTTGAGAAATCATGAAATCACTTCCTGTCTAGCATCTGCTCTTTTGCTAGCTTCTGTAACTTAATGTAATCTCTCATTCAGTATTTCTGTTTTCCATTAGTGTAATCCTTGGCTTTACTATGTATATTCTAAGACAAAACATCCACTACAGCACTTATTAGACCTTTAAACCATCATAATCTGAACATAGTTACTTTGTGAGCACAGAAAAAAAACAACTATGAAAAAAATCTGTTTGACCAAACACTCCAAACTCACTAGCTTTTTCCAGAGCTTTCAACCATATTACATGGTCGTCATCACTCGATCAAATCAACTATTTTGTCTATTATCTTGACTATTTCCAAGAACTTCAAGAAAGAACTTGAATATATGATCAATTCTTGTGTGTGCTATATTGTGAAAATTTTTTTTAAATAATTTTATAGTGGACTCTTGGAAGACTCGACCTTTGGGCCAAAAGACATCTAAATTAACAAGTCTTTGGTTGAAGCTGCTCACTGCAGGTTTCAACCAAAATTCTTCTTCTATAGGACAGAATCATCAGTTGAGGTTTTTAAGGAGCTCTTAAAACACACATTTACAAATTTATATTTTAACTCACTGACTACGTACATGCATCAACATGTGTTAGAGTCTCTTTTATGTTCTCTTAACATCAAACACTCAGAACTGCATCCCTGTGTGTATACAGTAAGGTGCTATATAAATAAACCCGTCCATGGTGCAGCACTTAATCTGCTTTAAGTTGTTTGTGAACAAAAAATGGAGCATGATTTTCCATCTCATATTCCCACCGGCTCATTCAAAGTGTCTCATCTTTCCTGTTCACCATCTTCTTAGTGAAGTGTTACAGAGCAGCCAGGTAGCGCGCGCACACACACACACTGGCTCCATTTCTCTCTCTCCTGAAGTAAGTGACAGCTGCAGATTTTTGGACCATCCCTCCCTCCAGGATGCCTGACAGTCCCCGTTGCCATAGCAACAGAGGCAGTAAGGCTAGCAGTTGTGACTGATGCTGCTGAGGTGTTTCCCAATCTGACACCCAGACTCCCTCTCAATCTTTTGTCTCTCTTGTGCCGCTCTCTCTCTCTCTCTCTCTCTTTCTCTCTGACTTCCTTTCAGGTGGTTTGAGATGATGAGAGCAGCTGATGTGTTAGTATTAGTTGCTGCAGTGACACAGTGCCCTGCCCTGCCGGCTCATTGTGCTCACTGACATTTCTCCAAATTGAGGCTCTGACATGAAGGATGGAGAGGTGCCGAAGAAAGCTTCAGAGGTGACCGAACCACACAAACCTTCATACCAACCATGCAAAAACACAGACAGTTGCTGGAGGAGGGTGGAGGGTGTAGACATGCAACGGTAGGCCTGTGTGGTACGAGGTTGTGTAGAGCAATTAAATTAATACATTTATAATAAACTTTTAAAAGTCTAACGCTGCCCCAAACCAGGTGACCCCAAGCTTTGATTTGTCAGGCGCCTGCTCCCATAGTCACAGCCAGGTGATTTCCTGTTCTTGGACCTGGTGTGTGTGTGTATGCTTGTGATGGGAGCCAGTTGGCAAGGAGACACAGAGACAGCTAAATGGGAACTTAGCAGACTGGGATCTTGAGCACATTCATGAATAAGAGCCCTCCACTGGGGCTGAGGAAGCTGCTGCTGCAGTGTTGTTTGCATTCATGAATAAACCTGCATGCTGCCATTCATACAAACACAATTAGCTCCATGCTTCTCCTGTGGAAGACAGGAATAGATGAACACAGAAACCAGCTCCCGTGCATAAATGTTGATATTTATACAACAGCCAAAACCCCTCATGAGCTGTATTGTCCGCATAATCTCTCTGCACCACTAAATGGATTTTTTCTTACAA